ACTGAGAAGGGTAGACAGGGGAGAGGTTGACAAATGGGTACAAACTTACAGTTAGATAGAAGATATAAATTCTAATGCTTGACAGCAGACTAGGGCATCTATAGACAACAATAATATGCTGTGTATTTCAAAACAGCTAGAAGAGAGGACTTGAAATATTACCAACACATAGAAATTATCAATAATCAAGGTCATGCATACCCCAGATACTCTGACCTGATTATTACATATTCTGTGCCTGTAAAAATACTGTATACCCAAAATATGTAAAATATTATGTATCAATAAAAGAAAAAATGGAAATCTAAGCAAAAATATCTAGTTTCATATCTGTGTTATAAGAGGTTTTTTTTAAAAACTGATCCTCCACTCTGAATAGCTATGAAGTGTCACCTTACTACATCAAAAATCTCTTAAATATTTTTATAGTAATCTTTCTATTAATAAAAGCCTTCAGGGTCAGGCATGGTGGCTCACGCCTGTGATCCCAGCACTCAGGAGGCCAAGGTGAGTGGAATGCTTGAGCTCACGATCTGGAGACCAGACTGACGAAGAGTGAAACTCCATCTCTAAAAAGTAAACGGGTTCTATGGCGGGAGCCTGTAGTCCTGCTATCAGGGAGGCTGAGGCAAGAGGATCGCTTTAACTCAAGAGTTTGAGGTTGCTGGGAGCTATGACCCCACGGCACTCTACCTGGAGCAAGAAAATGAGATTCTGCCTCAAATAAATAAATAAAAATAAAAAATAAAATCCGTCAGTCAGTATATTTGACTAAAATTGCAAAAATGTAGTGTTAACATTAATACAGAAAATACTTTCAATGAAATTCGTGAACAAGAGCAAACCCTGTGAGCTGGTACTTTAAAGCATTATCTATAAACAGAGCAGTACTGGTCCAATTTCAGATAAAATCAAACCAAGATCCGGGAGAGCTACCCCACGGAACCTGGAGAATGGTAGTCAAGTCCTAAGCTTGAGGAAACAGAAGCAGAGTAGGTCTGACAAACCTCAGGCATTTCGTCTCGCTTTCCCCTCGTTAGTTTGATTCACTGTCATACAGCAAAGGGTGGAGGAGCTCCTGACCCTCGCCCCAGTACCCTACTTCACCTCTGCCCCACCTCCACTGACTCCAAGCGAGAAACCACACCCCCAAAAGGCTTTGCGGGCTGGGGCGGGGATGTCCCGTCGGATTGGTGGGTCCTCGCTCCCAGCCAAGCGATGATTGGCCGAATATGGGTGAGGCTGAGGCTGATTGCGGTTATTGGGGCCGAGACAGGGCGTGGCCTGGGTGCCCAGGTACCAGTTCCAGCCGCTAGCTGGCGGCGGGGACATGTGAGAAACATGGCTCGGCGGTATGTGTGCGTGCTGGCCCTGGCGGCTGTGCTGCTGCTCGTTTTTGCTACCGTCTCCAGATCGAAGGGCCTGAGGGGCAGGGAGCATCAACAGACGTCTCGAATCCCTTCTCAGTTCAGCAAAGAGGAGCGCGTCGCGATGAAAGAGAAGTTGAAAGGTGAACTTGGGTCCCCTTTGCCTACCTATGCTCAGATGTGGGTCCCTCCCTCCTCGTGGTAACCCGAGACTCCCCTCTCCCTCCGATACTTCAGCCGGAGCTCCGCCACACACCCCAGCCTTCCCAGTGTTTCCTGCCTGGCCTGAAAGTTCCAAATTCACAATTTTTTGGCGTGGCCACCGTCCACCCTCTCCTCTGCTTGCCTCGCGTATTACAGCAGCTTTCATTTGTACAGCAGTTTTAACCTTTGAGACTTCACCTCTGTTAAACCTCTACGGTATCTTAAAACAAGACTAACTGGCTGGGCGTGGTGACTTCAGTGTCTGCAATCCCAGAACTTTGGGAGGCTGAGGCAGGAGGATTTAGAGTTTTCAGCTCTGTTAAAACTCTGCGCTATCTTAAAATAAGATTAACTGGCTGGACATGGTAACTGGTGTCTGTGATCCCTGCACTTTGGGAGACTGAGGCGGGAGGATTGAGAGTTTTCACCTTTGTTAAACCACTGCACTATCTTAAAATAAGATTAACTGGCTGGGCATGGCGACTGGTGTCTGTAATTGCAGCACTTTGGGAGGCTGAGGCAGGAGGATTGCTTGAGCCACTGCACTCCAACCTGGGCAGCAAAGTGAGACCCTGTCTCTAAAAATAACAAAAGCTTTAAAAATAAAAATAAAAAAATTAAAAATGAAAGTGTTTAGCTAAGAGAGACACAAATTGCAGTGGGTGGCCAAAGGACAAATAGAGCCTATCATTTTGGGTAAAAAGAAAAAGAAAGGGGCGGCGCCTGTGGCTCAAAGGAGTAAGGCACCGGCCCCAAATACTAGAGGTGGCGGTTCAAACCCAGCCCCAGCCAAAAACTGCAAAAAAGAAAAAGAAAGATTCTGATGCATGCTAAAGTTTGACAGGAAAAAAGAAAAAAGAAGCAAGGACTAAATGATCAAGTCCAGGCTTAGGTGAGTTAAATGATCTTACTCAGGGTCTTACAGCATGGAGTGAGCACTTGGTGACATTTAGTAGTGCCTATGGGACTTGGACTACAGATGGCTCTAAGAAGGGATATGGAGTCTTCCTAGGATGTAGATGTTCCTAATTTCTTCTCCTCTTGAAGAACATCTCTCCCCTAGACCTCTAACCAAGGCTAAAAATTTATTCGCAAAAAGTATAACCAATGCTAAAAACTTACAGAAACTCAGTTCTAAATCTGCATTTTCCAGGAGGAAAGAGGAAAGTTTCTGTGGATGCTAGATCCTGTGGGGTAATGAGATCCTTCTTCACCATGGGCTTAGCTCCAATCTTTTTCTCTTTCATAATATAATGGACAAGAGAAACTGCTTACGTTAACATATGCAGGCAAAAGCAGGGACTAAAAGCTAACCCCTGTGATTGGATATAGAGTGTACATGTGATGAAGGAATAGGCTAGGGAGACAGAACAGGGCTTTCTCAAAGCATAGTATAAATATTTGTGCTGAGCAGCGACAGCCCCATATACTGGAGGTGGTGGGTTCAAACCCTGCCCCTGCCAAAAGCTGCCAAAAAAAAATTGTGTAAAGGGCATTAAGTAGTCTCACAGAGTCTCTGCACAGAAGAGAACAACAGGTAGATGAAAGCCTAGAGTAGAGACCTTATAACAATATGTCTTAGAACTCTGAGCAGCTTAAATTCAGATCTTGGGTCTGCTCTTCAGTAAGTACTTGGATCTTTTTGAACCTCAGCTTCCCCCATTTTTGTGGCTATGATGATGTAGGGTTAACATCATCATTTGTTAGGGATACTTAACAAAACAATGTCTTTCAGAGGCCATCCCTGGATATCAGGTTGCCCCAGGTAAATTTGTTCTGTGTCCTTAGATTCTGTCTAATTAAATATTCTCATGACTCAGTATGTTTCTCCTCCTAGTGGCATTTGTATTTAATAATGGAACTCTTTAAATGAAAGCCTTAAAGACTCAAAAGGATGAGCCTAGTTACAATTCAGGAGTTGAGACAACTGGGCAGGGAGGATGAGGTTGTTTTAGGTCTGAGGAGCTTGTTTGAGATGTAACGCCACCTCTTCCCAGGCACCATATGGGATAAATGCCTACTACCTAAACTGGAAGTCACATGGTGCCTGGGAAGGTGTGGATTTAGGCCTTGGTTGAGAAACTAGTGAGATGCAGGATGAGCCAGTCCATGAGGAATAAGTCCACCATTTACATACAAAAGCATATAAGCTTCATTGATGTACTGACCCAGGATAGTAGATTCCTTGAGACTAATGAAACTTGGATTCATCTAATGGAGTGATGATTTCAGAGGCAGAGTGAGGCTTAAGAAGAAATTTATAGTAGCTTCCCTCTCAGGATCAAGGTCCAAAGTCTACTCCCCTCCACCCCAGCTTTGGACTTTATTTTCCTGTAAGAATCATATTAGCTTAAATGAACCCAGAAGACCTGGGTTTAAATCCCAATTCTGCTTGTTGCTGGGCAATCTCAGGCAGCTCACCTAACTTCTCTAAGCTTGCTTCCTCATCCTTGAATTTGAGGGGGAAAGTAGGAACAGAGGACTGGGAAAAAAACAATGGTTGTTATCTTTAATCTTTTGCGCCTGTTTGACTTTAACAGGTGCCATCCAGATTCCAACGGTGTCTTTCAGCCAAGAGGAGTACAATACTTCAGCCCTGGCTGAGTTTGGAGAATACATTCGTAAAGGTTAGCCGAAAATCACTGCCAAGTTTTGGTATAGGTGGCAATGAAGACAAACATTCTTTCGCAGCATGGCAAAGTTTATTTTGTGAGTAATCAAGGACAAAATGGAGACTACAGATTTACCCTTTGAAGAACTATGCCACATAAGAGTTGGGTTGGAATTTAAACTCTCCCAATCTTTGCCCTAGATATGTGTCATTCAGTAAATATTAGTTAATCAAAAGTTATCTTTTTGAAGAAGTAGGGGTTCCTTCTACCTGTGCAAATGTCCAGAACTATGACACATGCTTCTCCCACCCCTACCTCTTTACACACACCTATACGACTATGCATATACACTCTACCTACTCAGGCCTACTCCAGCTTCATTACTAACACATTTCTAGGCTTCTAGGAAGTCAATAACTTAAAGCTATAAAAGCCATAATGTCAGTCTTCTCCTCTCATCCCCACCATCCATGGCATACAGAGTTGAAAAGGATGGGTCAAAGAAAAACATGATTCTTAGAACTCCCCCATCTTCTTATGAAGATTTCATGAGGAATACTAAGGGTACTCTCCTAAATCAAATAAAAAACAGCTCTTCCAAAGTTGTCAAGTTGGAGGAACTGGTCTAGAAGCAGCAAGTAGCCCCCTCTCTAGCACTCTGGGACAAATGGATCAGGGATTAATGCCTACTACCCAAGCTGAGGCCACACTGGAAGTCTTTACAAAATAGGAGATAAAAATAGGGAAATAAATGTACAGTGATGATAATCTAGATAAGCTGGGTGACCAGATAAAACCATATTCTTTCTTTTTTTTATTTGACTCAAGCTGTTTTTTTTATTTGTCTCAAGCTGTTGCCCTAGGTAGAGTACCGTGGTATCATAGCTCACAGCAACCACAGCAACCTCCAACTTTTGGGCTCAAGTGATTCTCTTGCCTCAGCCTCCCAAGTAGCTAGGTTGCTCAGGTTGTATAGGTGAAAAGCCTATATGCCTCTGGCCAAAAAAGCCGTTTGAGAGAGAACAGTGAAAAGACTTTGTGCAGGCATACTTATAAGAAACTGAGGCAGAATCCCATGTGGCCAGGTTAGTTGCAGGCCTAACACGACCAAGGCTTTGGCTGGAACAGCATTTCCAGACTGCCTTAAGGAATTAAGGTTGACTTTATAAGGCCAATGAAAAAGCCCTTTGGAAAACTGGCCAGATACCCATCAGTAACCCTTCCTGATCTGTGGTAAGTGATGAAGGTTGCTTGCTGACAGGTCTGGGAATGGAGTAACCTTTCCTGATTTGTGGTAAGTGATGGGTCCGGGAATGGAAATGTGCTAGGGGACCTCAGAAGAAGAGAAATTTACCCAATGCATACAGGTATCTAATGGCACAGATGAAACCTGGGCTCATGAAAGGCTTTTGAGAAGTCCAGCCTGAGAATTCCTTATAAAAGGCTCCAGCAAAGACCCCCTGACTTAAGGCCTACATGGGAGCAGAGGTTTGCACAAATTCCTGTATGCCCAAGAAGTTTCTCTATGCTTTGCTTAAAGATTTGAAGTAAACTCGGTGCCTGTGGCTCAAGTGGCTATAAGGCACCATCCACATACACCTAAAGTGGCAGGTTCGAATCCAGCCCAGGCCCACCAAAACAACAATGATGGCTGCAACCAAAAAATAGCCGGGCATTGTGATGGGCGCCTGTGGTCCCAGCTACTTGGGAGGCGGAGACAGGAGACTCACTTGAGCCCAGGAGTTAGAGGGTGCTGTGAGCTGTGATGCCACAGCACTCTACCCAGCGGGATAGCTTGAGGCTCTGTCTCAAAAAAAAAAAAAAAAGAAAAAGAAAAAGATTTGAAGTAACTGCCTCCAAATGGCATGGTCAGTAGAACAAACATTCAAATCGTCTCTTTCCCCAGTAGCCTCAAGCTTCATCAGATAAGAACAAAGAAAGTAATAACTGACAACATGTTCTTCATTAAATTATGTTAAACCAGGTTATGTCAAAAGGGTTATGCTTAAAGGTGTATGTTGGGTGGATTATCAGGTTACTAGAGAAGAGCTACTTAGAGGGTGGGTGGTCATAAGATGTTTAAATGGATTAATGAAGTCATCGATGTCCAATGCGCATGTGCAGAGGGATTGTAATGAATGTTAATGAGGTCATTGCTGTATAGTGCACATGTACAAGATTCCCTATATAAACCAACCATAAATAAAGAAAGCTCGCCATTTTGCCTGAGCGAGCAGATGGTCACCTTTACTTAAAATACAATTTCAATAAGTATGCTTATTCTTCATGACATCACTTTTCCGTGACACCCTTACGGCAACAGGCTAGTCTCAAACCTGTGAGCTCAGGGCAATCCACCTGCCTCAGCCTCCCAAAGTGCTAGGATTACAGGCGTGAGCCACCATGCCTGGCCCTGATAAAACCACATTCTTCAGAGTTTTTATTTTCAGGTATCCACAGAGGTATATGTAGATTCTTCCAACAAAGCCCAGAAAGAGATAAAAGTTCTTTCTCCCTTGTAGTTAAGGTCATGGGCCCTTAGGCTCTCTATGCAATAGAAAATGGCAAGAAAGCTAAACAAGTGTTCTCAGACAGGGCTTTATTGGGGCTTATGCTCCAGCACAAGAGAGTCAGCATAGGAGGAAGAACTGCTCAGGCTGGTTCTCCACAGGTAGTTCCAGGAGAGTTTTGAAGAGACTTGGGGAGGAGGAATGGGTAAGCACATTGAGGTAGAGATTTTCCTACTCCTGCAGTAGTTCTGTTAGATCAGTGGTTCTCAACCTTCCTAATGCGGAGACCCTTTAATATAGTTCCTCACATTTGTGGTACTCCCACCATAAAGTTATTTTTGTTGCTCATGAAAATGGTTGGGGGTCGCCACAACGTGAGGAACTGTATTATTAAAGGATTGCCACATTAGGAAGGTTGAGAACCATTGTGTTAGATGCTTCTTCATCCATCACAGGTCTCATTAGCATGTTAAATCTCTACCCTAGGAGTGCCATTTAGCATGAAAATGAGATTATAATAAGGGAAAAGTCAGTATAGGGATCTATTCTAGCTTGAGGCAGTTAGATCCAGAGTGGTCTTTTCAGCTAGGTACCTTACCAGTGGTCTTGAAAAAACTTCACTCATAAAACAGATAGTTTAGCCCTTTCCTTATAGGGTATGGGCTAAATTCTGGCAATTAGGAAAGTATTTGTTTTAGCTCTTCTGCAGCAAATTAGGCCAAGTTATGTTGATTTCTATGGTCAATGGTGAGGGTCCTGTATCCCTACTCTGTCTCAGGAATGTCCATACCTGCCCATAGAAATATGTGACCTTGAGCCAGAGAGAATAATTTCTGTCTTCATATAACATAAACAGTAGCTGTGTTATTTTTTTTAAATAAAAATCTCTGAATTTTTTACATAATTATCGTGTCTGATTCCAAGTAATTTAGCTAATGGGCCTATTATATTCAAAATTTAACACACCCCTAGTCCTCATTGTCCTTAAGCACATAGTTGTGATAGCATGTTATAGGTTAGACCAGTGGTTCTCAGTTCCTGGTGCGACCCACAGGAACTATATTAAAGGGTTGCGGCATTCGGAAGGTTGAGAACCACTGGGTTAGACCAAGCCTGATCTTGAGATATGAACCATTGCCTTAATGGCAAGATCTCGGTTTGCATGCACATGTAGAATAGGAATTTCAGAGATTGCCCAGGCAGATCAGGAATCAGACTGGCTGTGTCCTAGATGACCTCCAAAATGAGGATGCATTTAAAAAAAAAAGGACAGAGAACACAAAATCACAAAATGTTAAAAAAAAAAAAAAACCTGAGGACACTGTTAAGCCTGGCTTTCTCTCCTTGCTTTTTATCCTTTTGCCTCTAGTCTTTCCTACAGTATTCAGCACCAGCTTTATCCAGCATGAAACTGTGGGAAACTACAGCCACCTGTTCACTGTCCAAGGCTCAGATGCCAGCTTGCAGCCCTACATGCTGTTGGCTCACTTTGACGTGGTACCTGCCCCTACGGAAGGCTGGGAAGTGCCCCCATTCTCTGGACTGGAACGTGAAGGCTTTATCCATGGTCGGGGAACCCTGGACAACAAGAACTCTGTGATGGTCTGAAATGTTATATTCCCTCTGCTTAGGGCTCTGAAGATCAACCCCAGGGAGTCAGGGGGATTTGGTTGACTCCTGGGAGGTAGGAGGTAATGGTAAAAGAACCTTGGCTCCAAGAGACCTGGGTTCCAGCTATCAGTTTGTCACTTCCCTTTTCTGGACCTTGGGTTCTCATCTGTAAATAGGGATTACAGTAGATGATCCCCCAGGACCCTTTCATCTCTGACATTGATAAGTTTATGCTTTCCTCCAGGTAGTAAAGATTTCATGAAAACTCTTCTTTCCCACATCTGATCCTTGGGAGCATTTGAATTTGTTCTCTTTAAAGCAAATCTGTCCGATCCTAGTCCCACCATCCTGACACAGGCAGCAGCTATCTCTGCTACCCTGGTACTCCTACTTGAATAATAGGCCTTTCTCCTCTTCCATTGTGTTTCTGAATCTTAGGCAATCCTGCATGCCTTGGAGCTCCTGCTGATCAGGAACTACATCCCTCGAAGATCTTTCTTCATTTCTCTGGGCCATGATGAAGAGGTAGAACCTCCTCCCCCTGTGCCTATCTCTGGGACCCCTGTTGTGGGGAGGGGAGCGGGCACTTCACTCTAGTCCAGTTTGCTCCCTAGCTGCAGTCTCCATGATATGGTGTGGAGGTTTGCCAACTTCTCTGTGTGCCAGAACTATCTAAGGACCTTGACAAAAATCCAGATTCCCCATCTGAATTTCACCACAGATCTGAATTTCAAACAGATTCCCTGGTAATGTCTGAGGCAGGCCAGAGATCCATCAACTATCACCTGAGAAATATCGGTGGGATAGAAAGAGAACTGAACAATGACTGTGTTTTCCAGCCACTTACTTAGACTCTGGGCATATCATTCCACCCTCTAGGCCTCAGTTTGCTTCTTATTTGTAAAGTAAGTGGTTGAGTCCTTCCAGCTGCGACATTCCAAGATTCTGTGAGGCAAGATTATCTAGGGTCCTGCCCTACAAGAAGAAGACTAAATGGGTAGGTTCTAGAACCCCTAGCAAAGCTGAATGGGTTCCCATTAACTATCTCTGGAGATCTGTCTCTGACTGAGAACTCTCAGGATTCAATGTCTTCAGGTATCAGGTATGAATGGGGCTCAGAAGATCTCAGCCCTGCTACAGGCAAGGGGCGTCCAGCTAGCCTTCATCGTGGACGAGGGTAGCTTTATCCTGGATGGCTTCCTTCCCAACAGCAAGAAGCCTTTTGCCATGTAAGTAAACCACCCCTCACCCCACCTTAGAAAGGGTCCTCATCCTATGTGACATGACCCCAGCCTGGTATCTATAAGCCATGCTACGACAACCCCCTTTTTTTTTTTTTTTGTAGAGACAGAGTTTCACTTTATCACCCACAGTAGAGTGCCATGGTGGCACACAACTCACAGCAACCTCCAACTCCTGGGCTTAGGCGATTCCATGCCTCAGCCTCCTGAGTAGCTAGGACTATAGGTGCCTGGCACAATAGCTGGCTATTTTTTTGTTGCAGTTTGGCTGGAGCCGGGTTTGAACCTGCCACCCTTGGTATATGGGGCGGGCACCCTGCCCACTGAGCCACAGGCACCACCCTACGACAACCCTTTTTTATCCCTCTTTCCTTAATCACCCTGATCTTCAACCTGCCCTGAGCTTCCCCTTCTTCTCCCAGTGTATATTTTTTAAAGCAGCATAAAGTTGACCTCAGCCCACCAACCACCACATAGATGGGCCTATGGGACTGCACAGTGGCTTATGATCCTAGCACTTGGGACGCAAGTTCAGGAGGATTACTTGCACTCAAGAATTTGAGACCAGCCTAAGCAAAAGTACTAAAGTACTAAAAATAGAAAAATTAGCCAGGTGTTGTGGTGAGCGCCTGTAGTCGCAGCTACTCAGGAGGCTGGGGCAAGTGGATCATTTGAGCCCAGGAGTTTGAGGTTGCTGTGAGCTGCAACACTCTATACTGGACAATAGAGCAAGACTCTGTCTCAAGAACAAAAAGCAAAACAGATGACCCTGTGGATTAATTCAAGATGGGAAGAAGTCAGGACAGCTGTCTCTGATCCTCTTCTGTAGGATTTCAGTCTCAGAGAAGGGTGCGATTAACCTCAGGCTACAAGTAAACATGACTCCAGGCCACTCTGCTGCTCCTCCAAAGGAGACAAGCATTGGCATCATCGCAGCTGCTGTCAGCCGGTAAGCAACTCCTGGCCCTGTTCCCAAGCCAGACTCAGGATAGAAGACCTGGCACTTTCCCACTTTGAGTTTGAGGAGGCTAAGCTTTCTGCCCTGAAGCTAGGCTGGGAAGCCATGGTGTGGGCTGCAGGCAGGACAGAGCCACAGTACCTAGGCAAGGGCTGGGTTCAGAAGGGGAAGTATCAGTATATCTATATGGCAAGCAAGGGCCAGCAGACAAAAACTTGAAAGTCCAGATGAGAGTATCTAGAATCACATGGTGGCAATTACTTATAGAGCTGTCTAAATTGTCCACCTGCCCTGACAGGAGGATAAAGATAAACTGAGTTTGGGCCGTGAGCAAGGACAGCAGGATCTGTAACAGAAGAGCTCACCCTTGGCTGGGTTTTCTTAGCAAAGTGGGAAGAAGAGATATATTCATTCCATAAATATTGAACTAAAGAGCCACTATGATCAAGGCTTTGCACCTTGATCTAGGTGGTAGGCATACCGTAATGAATGAAATAGCCCCTGTTCTCAAGGAACTCTCGAGTAGCAGAGGAGACTGACAATTCTGCTGCAGTGTGGGGGGAGAGCAGTGTAGCAGGAAGGAGGGACCCTAACGTGGACTTTGTAGACAGGGAAAGCTCCTGCTGGTAGCATCACAGTGGTCCTGCTAATGTTTTGACCTCTTCAGAACGTTGAGTTGATGGAAGTGGTAAGGAAGTGAATGGGAGACTGGGCTTGTGAGAACTTCCTCTTCCTTGTCTTCTTCGGCCCACTGATCTTTCACTGCAGTTGGCCAAGTCCTTAGAACTTTGTTTCTCTTCCAGACTGGAACAGACGCCAATGCCTAACATGTTTGGAAGCGGACCACTGGAGACGGCAGTGCAGCAACTGGCAAGTGAGGTATGAGAAGGAGTGTCACATACTCCTGGTCAGCTAGGAACAAACAGGTAGCAGAGAAGTGACCTTTAGAGTAATCAAAAGGCCCTGGGGCTGATCAGTGGTCTGCCCATTCTCACCTATTCGCAGCCAGAGGCTAAGCCAAGATGAAGGGATCTGGCTGTTGGTGTTTATCTGAGACCCTAAGATCTAATCTACCCAGGTACCTTTGGGAGCTGGTTCCACTCATCCTTAAGGCCACTGAGCAATTATTCTAACCAATTAGATAAGCCCAGTCAGGTATTTAGTAATTGCTTCCCCCTCCCTGGCCTTCTAGAGAGATTAAGCTAACTGAACTCAGTAGCATTCCTGACTGCTAAGGGTTCCCAGAGCAGGTCTAAAGTAGAGAGAGCCCCAGGCCTCAGGAACACTGACCTTGTGCTGAACCCACTGCAATCTTGCTGACCTTGTTCTTTCCCTTTCAGTTTCCCTTCCCTGTCAACATAGTCTTGAGCAACCTGTGGCTATTTGGACCCCTGGTAAGCAGGTAAAGTGTTGTCTTTCCTTCTTTCACATCTCCTAACCCAAAACTACCCACCCCATGAAGTCTTCTCTCCTTGGCTTAACTAGGCCTGCCTAATCATCCCCATCCACTAGATACTACATCTCTAATTTTATGTATTTAAGACATCTCTAAGATGTCTCTTTTCGTTGTAAAGATCTCCAAGGTTCAAAATAGTAGGTGATCTTTCTTCCCTTTCTTTCACCCCATTGGACAATGCTTCTTCTTAATGTCTGACCTTAGTCCTTTTGCTTTAGGTTAATGGAGAGAAATTATATAATGAATGCACTGGTCAGGACCACTATGGCACTCACCATGTTCAATGCAGGGGTCAAGGTAACATCACCTGGTTCCTCCCCACATACCTTTTCCTTACTGCCCTCTACTCTTTCCTGCCTTGGCTTAGCTCCTGTTTCCTTCTTCATTCTCTGGTTAAAATTTGAACAATAGGAAGAACCAGTGCTGAATTATGTCATCCGCTGGGTCAACCTCATGAACCTAGAGTCTAGTTGAGGTCTATATACCCTCTGAAATTGCTGATCAAATTTTATATATGTATATTTTACTTGAGAGTTTCCATGGCTCTTTAAAGTTCTTTGAATCCATATTTACAAAAACCAACAATTAAACTAGTATGAAAAGGAGTTTTTAGGGAGTTAATTTTTGTAATCTATGTTTAGGCTATAATTCAAGTCATGTGTTATATGACCTAGCACTTTGGTCGTGTAGATTAATTTTTTTAACCTTTCTACCACCAAAGATCTTTATTCTTTTCTTTCTTTCTTTTTTTTTTTAATTTTTTTTTTATTTTCTATTTTTTTTGAGACAGAGCCTCAAACTGTCCCCCTGGGTAGAGTGACGTGGCATCACTGCTCACAGCAACCTCCAACTCCTGGGCTCAAGCGATTCTCCTGTCTCTGCCTCCCAATTAGCTGGGACCACAGGCGCCCACCACAACACCTGGCTATTTTTTTTTTTTTTTGGTTGCAGCCATCATTGTTGTTTGGTGGGCTGGGCTGGATTCGAACCTGCCACCTTAGGTGTATGTGGCTGGCACCTTAGCCACTCGAGCCACAGGTGCCAAGCCTTTTTTTTTTTTTTTAGACAGAATTTTACTTTCTCATCCTGAGTAGAGTGCTGTGGCAGCATAGGTCACAGCAGCCTCTAACTCTTGGGCTTGAGTAATCCTCTTGCCTCAGCCTCTCAAGTGGCTGGGACTATACGTGCCTGCCACAATGCCCAGCTAGATTTTGTTGTTTATTTGTTTGGGGTTTTTTATTTTTATTTTTTTGAGATAGAGTCTCACTTAGTCACCTAGGTAGAGTTGGGCCCAAGTGATCTTCTTGTCTCAGCCTCCTGAGTAGCTGGGACTACAGACACTCACCCAATGCCCAGCTAGGTTTTCTATTTCTTTAGTAGAAACAGGATCTCACTCTTGCTCAGGCTTGTCTCAAACTCCTGAGCTCAAGCAATCTTGAGCCTCATCCTCCCAGAGTACACCTGGCCTCAAGGATCTTTTTTCATTCTTCCTCATGTTTATTTTTATTGAGACTGAGTCTCTCACTCTGTCACCCTGGGTAGAGTGCTATGGTGTCATTATAGCTCACAACAACCTCAAACTTCTGTGTTCACTCGATCTTCTTGCCTCAGGCTTGCTAGTAGCTGGATCTAGAGGCATTCACCACCAGCCTAGCTAGTTTTTTTCTATTTTTAGTAGAGACAGTGGTGGTGGGATCTTATTCTTACTCAGGCTGGTCTTGAACTCCTGAGCTCAAGCAATCCACCCACCTCGGCCTCCTAAAGTACTAGAATTATAGGCATGAGCCACTGTGCCCAGCCCTTCCTGATGTTTTAAAAAATGTATCCACCTAACAAATTTAATGATCAATGTATTTTCCCCTGGTGTTACCCTAAACTGAAAAAGAGAAGCTCACCTAACATTTAACAAATTTTTAGCATGAGGCCAGGTGCAGTGGCTCATGCCTGTAATCCTAGTACTCTGGGAGGACAAGGTGGATGGATTGCCTGAGCTCACATGTTCGAAACCAGCCCAAACATGTGAGACCAGAGCAAGACCGCACCTCTAAAAATAGCCAGACATGATGCTGGTGCCTCTAGTCCCAGCTACTCCAGAGGCTGAGACAAGAGAATCTCTTGAGCCCAAGAGTTTGAGGCTGCTATGAGCTATGACACCGTGGCATTCTACCAAGGGCGACAAAGTGAAACTCTATCTCAAAAAAAAAAAAAAATCTCTACCACATGTGATATATATAACACTTACAGCATGCACAGTTTCATTTCCCAAAATGTAGATATTGGGTGGCCTTAACAAATGTAAGTTTGGCAAATATAAATTCTGTATTAGGTTTACTTTTATAGAAGTAAGATTCAGGTAAATCAATACTGTGATAAATTTTTGTTCCAAGAATTACTTTTCAGCAAATTGGTTCACTTCCAGTTAGATTAGCCACTAAAAGGGAGTCTTTCTTTAGAGGACCAAGCTTAGCCACATAAAGGCACAGGACTTTCTGAAATGTTGAAGAGAGTTAGACCATTCCTGTTACTACCAATACAGGGGTTCCCATTCACCTAGAGAATAATACATATAACCTTGAGGTGTGCTGGTGAATTGGAGTCCAGTTTGGATATAAGTGATTGGTGCCTCAAAATTAATTCCTGCCATAACAGACTGGAGTGTCCAGTGTGCCAGCTGTACCTGAGCTATCATCTCCCCAGAATACTTTCACATGTTACTCCATTAGGTCCTTCTAAGAGCCCTGGAGGTATTATTGCCCCAGTTGCCAGTTGAGAAAACAGAGGCACAAAGAGTTTTCAATTATTCAAATCACAAAGCTAGTTTGCAACAGCCCAGTTCTCCTGTCCCTGATCTAGTGATATTTTGCACCATACTGGTTCAAAGAAAGATTGACACTTAGGTACTCTGTTCTCTCCAACCTCCAAGGAACAATTCCTTCATAGCATAACTTTAATTAGTCTTGGGTACCCCCTGGTCAAACAAAGATGGAGTCAGATTTTGCAACTAGACATGGGAAACATCATTCCTCTCAGGGATAAAACTTGCCATGATGAAGGCCTATGGAGGCTCTGGGCGCCCTGGGAATTAAAGTGTGCACAGAAGGCTCCTAATGGCACAGCATGGGTCCAAAATAAATACCTGAGCAATCACAAAAAAGTAGTCTTGCTCTGAGCAGCTCTGTGACCACTCCAGGACCAAGAAGCACAAAGGTCTGTCCTAAAGCAGGGATACTTCTCTAGCTCTGAATATAACCACATATCACTTGGCTCAGAGAAGATAAGAGACAGATTAAAAATACTAAGCCCTGGATTCTTAAATCAGCTTCCTCTGCCTCTCCTGGTGGTAAATGATACTTTCTGGGCAGGGATCAGGTGTGGAAGACTCGAGGTTGGCTCAAGCCAGGGTTTGTGGTTCTTTCTCTAGGTGAATGTCATCCCTCCAGTGGCCCAGGCCACAATCAACTTGCGGATTCACCCTGCACAGACAGTCCAAGAGGTATGTGCTATGTTTCTCAGACAACTGCTTCCACATCCAGGAGGTATGGCCCTCAGGACCTGAGTTTAGCTCCGATCCCTAGGGCTGGTCCAGTCTCTCATTTATTCAACCAACATTTTTCAAAGACATCCTATGTACCAGGCACTTGGTTAGGTTGGAGTCTCTGTTTTGAGGGAATCTGTTTTGAGGGAATCTGGAGTCAGGAAATGAGAGATGAATATGAATAAATGATAGCAATACCTATAGTAGCAGATGTCTATATAGCAGGCTTGCCATGTGTTAGGCACCATTCTAAGGTATATACACACACACTTAATCCTCACAACCACTCCAGGAGGTAAAAGCTGCGTTATCCACATTAAACTGGGGAAAACAGACATAGAACAACAGCAATGAAGCTGCATACCCAAGATTACATATGTAGCAGTCTAGTTCCAGTCTGTGCTTCTAGCCATAACACTAGATAGTGATTCTAACAATCAAGGATGAACAAACTACTATAGAACCACTGAAAATAAGGAAACCAATGGTACCTCTGTGGGTCAAAAAAGTCTTTGGACCATTAAAAATTTGAGCTGGACCTTAGAGGACAAATAGGCCTAAAAAGACATTCATCATGGCTGAAGACTAGAATAAATTTAGGAGTAGTAATGGGAAATGAAAATGACGGGAGAGGGAGTTGTAGTTTGGGGATCAAGGCCTTGTATGCCAGGCTAAGGAGTCCGGGTCCGGGCCCTAAGCTGTGACAAGAGAGAACTTTCAGAGGTCTTCAGACAGGGTTGTGATAGACTCAGATTTGTTGTTTTAGAGAGATAATGCTAGTGGCAATGCCAAGAAGTATTTACTGTGCTTTAGAAAATAATTTAATTCATGATCTTTAAAATTTTTCGCAGCATATCAGTGTGCGATGGCACACTGATTGAAAATCACTGTCCTAAGTTTTTTCCCATGGAGGATTCCATTTGTCCTTGTGCGGGAGGGTGGCCACTCCTCATTGCAGAGGAGGGAAAAAGTTGACATCCTGCCCGGAGCCACCCAGCATTGGTTTGGGGACCAATGTGGGCCCTGGGCTCTGCTGCTTTTCATCGAGTGCCAACCTTTGTCCTCTCCCTGAGGGGTAGTGGGGGCCAGGAAATCACTGAATTCCCCTCATTGAGCTGCTTTCCACCAGTTTTTTTCCAGCTTCATTCCAACCCTGTGCCCTTTCCAAGGGCAGTTTTCCACCCAGCTGGGGCTTTCATCTCCCCAGGTCCTGGCACTCTTCCCTCCTCTCTATTCCCCCACCACACTGATGAAACCCCTGGGATCCCCAGGCCCATCCTGCCCACCTGCACCAGTGAGGAATGGAAAGCCTCCATCATTCAGAAAGCCCTCAGGGCCAGTCTGTCCTGGTCCCTCCACTCCCTCTGGCCCCAGGGACACTCTCTGCCAGCCTAAGGACTATGCACACAGAGCCTCGGGCTGGATCCCACGGGAACATTGGCAGCCTACAGGGTTCTCTACCTCTATCTTCAATGGCTGTCTCCAATGTTCCAAATGTCAGTAGATCTTCAGCACCTCCACTGATGCTATCAGTGAAGAACAAGTCTTTAGAAATTTAATAGGCTACTACAAGGAAACAAAGGTTGCCCTGAATGGGCCTCAAGGAGTAGAAATTAATAAGACCAATGAGAGATGTTTCCAGGAGCCTCTAATTAAAGGAGAGTTTTGGATGTGACATCTTGGACAGCAATGAGCTCCTCATCCCTAAAGGGCTAGATCGAAGTGTTGCAAAGAAAATTCCTCCTTTCCATTCACCAAGTGTCTTTTTGAGTGGCTACTATGACTAGACATTCTTCTGACTTGAAATAACAGTGACAAGACAGAGAGATTCTCATCCTAATGGTGTTCCATTCCATGGGAAGAGACAGCAATAAGCAAATAAGTCAGTAAATGAACAGGGTGATTTTGTAAGTGAGAAGTACCACAAAGAAAATAATACATATAATAAGGGGCTGTGTCTTATTATGGGGTGGGGGGGGGGCAGTGAGCTACTTTAAATGCAGTGGTCAGTGAAGCCCTCTCTGAGAAAGAGCAAAGACCCGGCAGCAGCATCCAGGCAGGAAAAGCACAAAGGGTGAAACAGAACAAATGCTCTCTCATTTTGACAAGAGTGTTTATGAAGCTCCTAGTACTAACTATATTGTATCCTATGGTGAATATATAATATCGTTAAAAAAAAAAGGAGAGGGGCTGGATGTTACAGGATGCCAGTAAATAAGAAAGACATTCATTACCCATAACTGAATTGCTTAAAAACGAATTGATAGGCTCGGCGCCTGTGGCTCAAGCGGCTAAGGCGCCAGCCACAGACACCTAAGGTGGTGGGTTCGAATCCCCAGCCCAGGCCCGCCAAACAACAATGATGGCTGCAACCAAAAAAAAAAAAAAAAAATGGCCAGGCGTTGTGGCGGGTGCCTGTAGCCCCAGCTACTTGGGAGGCTGAGGCAGGAGACTTGCTTGAGCCCAGGAGTTGGAGGTTGCTTTGAGCGTGATGCCACGGCACTCTACCCAGGGGAATAGCTTGAGGCTCCATCTCAAAAAAAAAAAAAAAAGTGGAGGATATATAGCATGAGATGGTGAGCTTTCTACCACTGGACGTGTTCAAACAGATCAGGTAATAACCTGACCTGAGTTTTCTAGCGAGCAGCCTGACAGCAAGACAAGCTGGACTTGATAACTGTAAAGACATTTCCAATTTTTAAGTATCCATTGTCCTTGCCTTCAACAACTATGCCTTCCACGTAAGAGGAAAATACCTCTACACAGAAAACAACATAATGTTGTGGGAATGTGCTATAAAGACTAGTAGATCAGAGAAACAAGAGGCCGGTGTGCTCTAAAGTAACCTCAAGGTCTCTCTCCCTCTCCTAGTCCCCTCCTTGTACCTCTGATTACTGCCCAGGCAAGTACCAGCTTACTAAGTGCCAGGCCCTAGCCTCAGCATGTTACATATCTTAACTCCGCAACGGTCACCACCATCTTATGAGGCAGGTGCTCTTATCATCCACGTGTCAACAGAAGAGCGAGCTAAAGCACAGAGATTAAAGAGCTTCCCCAAGGTCGCACATCTATGAGTGCCTATACAAGGCACAGAGTTTGTTGTCATTCCTCATTTTTTTTAATTAAATCATAGCTGTGTACGTCACTCCTCATTTTTCGCGCATGCCTCTCACTGTGTTCAGACTATCTCTCACTTCTTTTCTATCAGCTTCATATCCTTCCTTCAATGTTGGGCTCAAAATTCATACTGCTAAGGAATCCATCTCAGATGAACACCTTATTTCTCATCTACTCCACACCAGCTCAACCTGTGTGTACTTAGGAAGCAGTAAAGCATTGTTCTTATGAAGTCAAACAGTCTCCCAGCCCAGGGATACTAACTATATAACCATGCGTGAGTTAATGAGACAACTCCTACTATTTTTATTGGTTTACATCTTTTAAAAGTCTTATATATCCAGCCTTTATTGCATGCCTTTCATGTGCTTGATACTGGAAATACAGAAATGAAATCAACATTGCCCCTGCTCTTGCCTGGCCTAGCAGCTAGTGTGAAACATGGCCTTTTATAGCCTCTTACTGGTGGGATTCGACCTGTATGACTTCTTTGATTTCTGGGGACAGTCCCAACCCACTTCATAGGGGCTGACTTCAGGAACCTCCCAATGGGTTGAGAATATATCAAAACTGTACATTAATTCTTGTATTAGAATATTCAGGCCTTCAGTGCTGGGGGAAAATAAGCTCTGCTAAGTGAGAATAAGCTCTGATGACCCCCCTCACTGATCCAACAGTAGAGAATTTGTTTAGACTCAAATGGTGGTTTCTAAGCCAGAGGTGGGAACGCTCACTTTCTATATAGACTCAGATCCTAGCATTCTTCTAGGGGGCACTGACCTAAGATAGTGCCTCCATTCAAGTGACCCCTATCATGGGACAACCCCCCTTTCTAGAGCAGAAGCAGTTTTAAAGCAATTACTGATCAAGTGGGTTGAGACTAGTGCTGGGGCTTTCCTTGGGTGTCTGGCTGTAATATAATCGTTAGGGTCTGCTCTGCATCCTGACTGGGGCTGGGAATTTTGCTGGATTCATTCTAGTCACTTCAGACTGAATTTTCTAGGAGTTTCCTCAGGTTCCTTCCTGAGGAAAGGAGGTAAAGAGAGAACATTTGAATGCCAGTCCCCTAACTCTGTATTGAGCTCATCTTCCTGACTCCAGTGCAGTTGGTTACAAACAGGAAGCAGGGATACCCAGAGAGGGAAAGAAAGGTGTGATGCTTGCATCACCTGTCTGAGACTCTCCCGGATTGAAGCCAAGCCATCACATCTATCTTTCTGCTTCAGAATGGATGTGACTCCCATTCTGCTGTCTCTTCTACACTTTTACCTAGCCCATGGCTCATGACCCAAAGGGGAAGACACATAATTTCCTGATTTTCCAATTACCCACCTGATTCACGGCTATAAGCCAAATCTGTTGAAACATTGAACCTAAGTCCACCATACCACAGCTTGCTTTCTAAGAAGACTCAGCTATTATATGACCTATAGCTAGCCAGCTGACATTGAAGTCTCAGTGCTAAAAAATGAGTCCTCTCTGTAAACTCTAGGGCTTTGCCTTGCTAGAGAGAAATCATGATATATAATTCATATGGTTTTTGGATTACAGATCAATAAGAAATCTAATTCCCTTTCTCACCATTTTGGAGGTCCTAGAATTTGTCAAGAATGTTGTGGCTGATGACCGAGTCCAGTTCCACGTGTTGAATGCCTTTGACCCCCTGCCCATCAGTCCCTTTGATGACCAGGCCTTGGGTTACCAGCTGCTCCGCCAGACCATACAGTCTGTCTTCCCGGAAGTCAGTATTGTCACCCCAGGTAATGACTTCATCAGCTGTGGCTGATGGGAGGTGGGGGCTAGAACTGTTTCCTCTCCAGTGTCCACTGCTCCACCCCCACCCCAGCTGTTCAGTTTGGAAACAGCTGGCTGCTTCCCTTCCTGATGGGATTGGAACTATATTTTCCCTTCAGGGTGGAAGTGAGAAAATAAACAGGAAAGGAGCAGAAACAATAAATTAGGTCAGTTAAGCCTGGGCCCTTGCTTAACCTGGTCAGCTACTCTAGCATAGAAGGGAGCATTGGCTTAGACTCCCCCTCTTCTGGAGGAGCCCACAGAAGGGGCCAAGATCTTCCCAGAGTCTGGCTCTCATTCATTCTAGGCTAACAACGCAGCAGTAGGGCTCAAAACCCTCCAGCCCATACCATTTATATTAACTTCATTATCTTTCCTAGCCCAGCAGCAGCACCCTCTGTATCCCTTGCCCAGTCTCCTAGCCTATCATCCAAATTTATGCTATGTAGACTCAAGTGGAAGAGGATCACCAAGGGAACTTACTAAAATGCAGATCAACTGAACTGATTTCCAAAGATTTGGGTTTGTACCTTTTAGACAAATATGCTCAGGATATTCTTATGCAAGATAACAGTTGACTGCTACCTGAGACTTCTTGGTCTGTGATGTGAGAAGGAAGTGCCCAAATGTTAAGGCCTGTACCCAGTTTCTTTTAATCTGGGTTTAACCAAGGATTTCCTCCAAATATCCAGGAACCTTGGCCCTCAAAGGCTCCCTATTCTACCCTCTCCCTTCTCAGGGACCTGCCATAATCCCATCAAGGGGGTTAGGCTTTTATAGACAGAAAAAGGCAGAAATACACAAAACAAGGAATTGTGAAGGGCCTGGCTACCCATTTGAAACCATGAGAGGAAATGAAGACAAAACACAATTGTCATCTCAAATCATCCCACACACTTGAATTGATGTTCCAGGGTATCTTTTCCCAAAGAACACACCTGTATTCCCAGCTCAAACTAAGTGACCTCCTACCATGTTCAGGAGAGTAGGAGACTGGAAAGAGAATATCATGGGACTTCCCAGACCTGAGGTTTGATTTGAGGAAGACAGAATTTTCCTGCAAAGAATGAGAATAACAGGAAATTATGTTCTATTTAATAGTATTAAAGTTCCCCAGGGAGTATTTATTTCTGACCGAGGATGATACAGAATAAAGTTCAGGTGATAAAGAAGTGATAGCTAGACTCTGGTTTCTTAAATAGCAACTGGCTGTGGATGTGGGTATGAAGTAAAGATATTGGCACCCCTGGCCATCTTGGAGTGAGAACACTTACCTTTGGACCATTCAAGTCCATGTCCCTGGGTGAAAAGTTATTTTTTGTAAGGTTTCCTGGAGGATAAAAAAAATAGCCACAGGTTCCCAAGAGGGCCCAGGCATTGTTCTGTAGTGACCAGTGGTCCTAATTTTCTAGCCGGCTCACCTCCCAGTACTTCCTTGGCTTGGTCACTCAGTCTTATCTCTTCTAGGTATTTGTATTAGCAACACGGATAGCCGACACTTTACAAACCTCACGACTGACATCTACCGGTTCAACCCCGTCAACCTACACCCTGAGAGCTTCAAGAGGTGAGTGGAACAGGTATGAGCAGCAGGTAGGAGAGGGGAGAGATGACAGAACGTCTGACCTGCCCCTTCTCCAACCCCATGCTCCTGAAACTCCACCAAATAAATACGGGAAAGTCAGGACTTGACAAACTAAAATGGAGATGTCATAGAACCTAATTTACCCTTGTCATCCCAGAATTTGTGAGACTTGCCCCTCTTTTACAAGGATGAAAATAATCAGTTGTTTGGTGAGAACCTGGTAGAATTAGTACCCTTGGGTGCTAATCCCAGCTCTGTCTCTCTCTCGAGAGTGCTTACCCTCTAGAACAGTGGTTCTCAATCTTCCTAATGCCGTAGCCCTTTAGTACAGTTCCTGTGGGTCGCGACCCACAGGTTGAGAACCACTGCTCTAGAGCTCATCTTCTCTACCTACAAAATGGGGAGATTCCTCACCATTCCTTGAATTGCAAACACACAAGAGGTCAAAGGTAGGCACATGCCTTGAGTTCTAAGAAGAAAATGCCATGGAAATCCAAAATGTGATCACCAATTGTAACTGCCATGTGCAAATTACTACCTTGCGGGTTCCTCAGCAAACTTTTAATCTTGGGGTATGGGCGGGTGAATTCCATTTACTTCTCTGCCGCTTATCACATCCACACCTGATTTCTCTACCATAAATCAGTTATAAATAGAATGAAAGTGTCTGAATATGAACCTATGAACAACTTTCATGTTTTTGTTTTTTAAATGGGGGACAGATAACCACTCTTTTATGGCCTTTAATCTTTGAGGTTAAATGTGTACTATAGTTGTTTTTTTTGTTTTGTTTTTCTTTCTTGTTTGTTTGTGGGGAGGCAGGATGATGGGTGTGAGATTTGACAGTACAGTTCCTAGGTGAAGCAAAAAACTGGATAGGTATGCTGGGCAGTTGCTCTCCCTACACTCCCTTACCCCTAATAAGTTCAGAGGGTAGGCAGTTGGCTTAGAGATAAGTTTGGCTAGGCACTCTGTCCTAAGAGAAAAATAAAGATAGTACTACCAGAAGACATGTTATTGCAGGGATTTCAGAGCAAGAGATGATTTTGAACTCTCTGGGAATTCATTATGTACACCACTGTTCTTTGTCATGAGTATGGATTCTTGAGGTGACCAACATGTCATATGAAACCTCACAAATGGTTTCTCCCACCTTCCCACTTCCTATCCTTGGAGGGTCAAAGGCCAATGGTTTTAGGGCTGGGGGGTGGGTAGGGTACATGTTTTACTATAGCTCTTGGCCCTCTGCTCCTCTCCCAAATGCCTCTCTTTTTCCCTCAGCATCCATGGAATCAATGAGAAAATATCAGTCCAAGGCTATGAGACTCAGATGAAATTCATCTTTGAGTTCATCCAGAATGCTGACACAGATGAGCAGCCAGTCCCTCACCTGCATGAACTGTGAGGTCAAGGAGCAGCTGGATTAGGTGTGCAACCCCGGGCCAGGAATATCTCAAGGGGGATAAGAGTGGGGGTGTGCCAATGATGATGAAACTTTTGGTCAAAGCCACATCATAATACATTTCCCACCTGCCTTGCTCACTTCTATTTATTTTTTCATTTTTTAAATTTATTTATTTATTTATTTATTTGAGACGGAGTCTCACTTTGTCGCCCTTTGCTAGAGTGCTGTGGCATCATAGCCTGCAGCAACCTCCAACTCTTGGGCTCAAGCGATTCTCTTGCCTCAGCCTCCCAAGTAGCTGGGACTACAGACACCTGCGACAATACCTGGCTATTTTTAGAGACGGGGTCTCAGTCTTGCTCAGGCTGGCCTCAAACCTGTGAGCTCAAGGCAATCCACCCGCCTCAGCCTCCCAGAGTGCTACCTTGTTCACTTCTAAACTCACCCAGTAACAATGCTGAGGGTGAGGTAGTCCGCAGAAATCTGGCTTCTCCATCCCTCCCAACATCTACTTCCCTTGACCATTGGGCATTTACTGCCTTCTTGTCCCTTGCCTGTCTTATGCTAGTTGTTTCACTGTTTCAGCCTCCAGGCCTAACTTAAATGCAGACTTGAAAAATCTCAGCCAGGTTTTACCTAATAGGAGTGTTTAATTTAGGGCACTCTTGCTGGAAGGACTTCTCTAGGGCTTATATATTTCTTCTTGCTAGAACTTTCTTTTTCCTTTTCTTCTCCTCTCTTCTTGGACTTGTAAGCTGCCTCTTCAATGCTCCGCTCCTAGCCCCATATCTCTCCCACTACTCTCTAATTTATTCTATATCTGGAGCTGGACTTAACTCAAACCGTGATCCTACATATTGCCACTACAGTTGGTCAAGTAAAGTTGCCATCTCCAGTGGTCACTGAGGAGTAAAACTGATATAGGGGCTTTGGAGGAACCCAAGATCCCCTGGTTCCAGAGGCTAGAGACTGGAAAAGAAAGTCTCTGTCCTTGGGCTTCCTCTCAAGGGCTCCCTGGGCTTTGTTCCCTCCCCTGCCCTGTTCCTGCCACCTGCTGCTGCCATCTCACCCCAGGAGGTGCTAATCTGTAGAAACATTTCCCTGGCACAGCCTATGGGCTGAGCTCCTAAGTGAAGGGCATTCATGACCCAGCCTTCCAGTGGAGCCCAAGACCAACAAGGCCCTGGCATCATGTCCTGGTTCAGACTGATCAAGGGGAAGTGGAGGGCATGGGGGGGGTGGAGAGGTTGGGGGCAGGTGGTACAAGTTATCCTCCATTAGGGGACAGCAGAGCTCCTGACTTTTTTCTCTGGCCAACCCTGAGCATATTTGAATCTGCTCAGTAGCTGCCAGGTGGGGGGCATTGGAAGGCAGCATTTCTTGGCTCAAAGCTAGGAGCTGTGCTTTGTGGATCACAAGGAAGTCTGGGTCACAGAAGGAGCTGGGACTTGAGACTCCCCCTTCTTTCCTCACCAGGCAAGGACCTTCCATGCCTTGCTGGGTTCTGAAAGCAGTGGGCTCCCTCTCCTCACAAGGCTCCTGCCCTTCATACCCCATTTCTCACCTCTCTCCTGGGGATAGGAACTGTTCCTTGGAGCTGGGGTCTGATGGAAAGTGTTAGAAACACGGTGTGGAGATTATTCAGGCTTTTTTGCTACTCCCCAAGACTCACATTCCTTCCCTCGCCCTCCCTTTTTTTGGCCAATTCAGTACTTATTCAGCCTTTGTTAGAGGGCGAGCTGAAGAACAAAAATAATCCTTCACATTTGTACAGAACTGTGCAGAGTGCTTTCATACACCTTGTCTCAGCAGAGCCCCACAAGAACCCTGTGAAGAAGGTATTATTATCTCTTCTTACAGGGAAGGAATTGGTTCTAGAGAGGTTACACATCTAACTGAGGGCATTTGGCTCCAATCCATGTCTTTTGGCCCCAAACTCACTGTTACTCTGTGATCATAAACTACTAATGGAATCTACTTCCCATTCACTGTCTTATTTAACCCTCACAACAACTCTAGGGTGTTATTGCCCATTTTACAGACGAGGCAACTGGACTCTATGGTTAAGTAACTTGTCCAAGGTCATGTAGGGGTTAGGGGCAGATTTTGTCTCAATCCAAAGCCTGTGCTAAAAGTAGTGAAGAGGAAACAGACTCAGAGAAAGTTCATTTGCTCAAGGTGACAGATTTCTTAACGGGTAGTCCCAAAATTCAAATGCAGGTCAGAAATCCCCAAGTCCAGCATTGGTTCAGTTGTACCACTTGCACCATGCTGCCTGCCCCCAAGAACCTGTGGTGTGTGGCTCATTCATTCTGATGCAGGGAGATGTCAAGGACAAAGGCTATTTTCTGGATTTCGGTCTTCTTTCTAGCTGTCTGTGTTCCCTTGGCTGATCTTTCTCTATTCACACCTCTCCCTTTGTCTGCCAGTACTTCTTACCGCCCCCACCTCCCAGCTTCTGGACTCAGTTCTTTTCTCTGAGTTTAGGGACAACCAGGTTTCTAGTGATCCATGAAGTACCTGGGAGAAGAATGAACAGCCGACTCTGTCCCCATCCATCCATCTCACCACCTTCTTCCAGCTTTAGAAAGGATAGTTTTTTTGAATCCCCAAATGGGGAAGGAAGGCCCTTGAGAGGAAAATGCTATAAATCTTAGCTCTGAGAACACAGATACTCTAGCCTAGAGGCCCCTGACGATTTCTGGAGAGAGTGAGGCCTGCCTGGGAAATAAGCCCCAGGACTCTGGACAGGATAGGGCAAGGAATCTGGGACTTTCCTCCACCTCTATTCCCACCCATCTACTGCTTCCCAAATCCACCTTGGAAGGGCTCCAGCGGATAGTCACCCTACACCCCTGACCAGGACTAGCTCAAACTTTTTACTCACACCTTACTACCTAGGGGGGAGAAAGACGAAATACTCATAAGCAAAGAGAATGGGAAAAGAAAAGTATAAATAGGAAACAAAGTTCCTACTCAAGAGCTGAATGTTTCACTAAACTTTGTGAAAATTTAAATCTAATTAAATATTTTTATAAAAAAGACATTATTTGCAATTCGAGTGTTCTGTGTCCACCTGTGAACAAAAGGATCCAGTATCATGTTTCACATGTCACATTTCGCCCTACAAATACGAAAATTTAAGATTAATATAAATTGTTTAATACTGATGTTCCTCAGCCACCACGTGCAATGTTGCAAACACTACACCTATTCGTGGATTCCTCCAGAACTAGAAAAGGGACCCAAAGAGAAGCAAGAAAATGGATACTCAGCACTACTGGTCAAAATCATGTCAACAAAGAATCTACTGCAGTCACACTTTCTAAGAGGAAGGACTTGACAAGCTAATTTTCTTTTCTCTTGGCTAAGCACTCTAACAGCTCAATTCCTCCCCGCACTCCAAAGCCAGAGCTGTCTCCAAAGTCACAGTGACACAACCCACAAACCTTCACCTTAAGATACAGTTACCTTTTTCTCTGAAGACAGGATACCCTTGCTTCAGTAACACCTATACTGAAATCAGAATGATACAGAGAAAATTAGCATGGCCCCTGCAAAGATGACACACAATATTGTCATCTTGTGTGACAAAGTGCTTCATTGTGAAGCACTCCATATTTTTAATGTATACATATTTTGAAATATGTTATACATAATAAACATATAATGTCTATCAATTTAAATAAACAAGACATAGGGCAAGATACAGAGAATGTTTCTCCAGGGCCTGAACCATATTCATTTCAGGAACGCGGGTTCAGGGTTACTAGTTGCTCTGTGACAATACTGAGCGTTGAATCCCAAGTGTCAGAGACATCCCTGGTTTTCATAAATTTATTTCCTTTGTGGTTGTGCTGTATGATGTCTTCTAAAAGCATGGAGCCCAGGGAAGGGGGCTCTCTTGCCGAAATCTAAGAGATAAAGTCTTTACGTAAGTCATGGTGCCTGGTCTGAGAAATCAGGAAGGCCTCTGCCAGTGGTGAGGAGCGGGGAGGTGTTTAACCTGTGGCTGATGGGCTGCATGTGGATTATGTGAGGATTTTATTTATTTTTTTATTTTTTTGTTTATCTCTGGTTTTGGATATCATGAAAATTATGCACAGACCTTTTTTTTGCTCATCAGTGCAAAATAAATACATTAGAGTTTGTGTATTTAATGTGTGGCCCAGGACAACTCTTCTTCCAGTGTGCAGTAGAGAAGAAAAATACTGGACCCCCCGATACTGGGGGATCAGGAATTGTGGCAGACAGAGGGAATAGAGCAGGCAAAGGCTATGAGGCTAATGAGAACAATATACCTTCAAAAAACTGAAAGGAGTCCAGTTTGGGCCTTGCAGGTCAGGAGGGGGATTTTGGACTTTGATTAAGGACAATGGAAAAGGGAAGTCTAGTTAAGTCTTTCCTTCCTTCTGTCCTTCTGTCCTTCCTTATATTCCTTCTGACACTTACATAGTATTTACTATATGCTAGGTACTGTTCTAATTAACACATATAAAAACTCATTTTATCCTAATTTTTACCCTATGAAGTAGGCTGTTGAAATATAGCAGGTTGAAAATGGAATTAGCAGGTTGGAGAAAGATGGGTAGGTTAAAAAGTTACTTAGGTTAGGCCGGTGGGAAGGCAAATCAAAACCACAATGGGAGTACCACCTCACATCCACCAGGTTGGCCATCATCAGAAAAAGGTGGAAAATAACAAATGTTGGCAAGGATGTGGAGAAACAGGAACCCTGTACATTGCTGTTGGGATGTGAAATGGCATCACAGCTGTGGAAAGCAGTTTGGTGTTTCCTCAAAAAGTTATGCATAGAATTGCCTGATAAAATTCAGCAATTCTACTCCAAAAGAAATTAAAATGAAAAGGTTGTATCTGAATGTTCATGGCAGCATTATTCTCAGTAACCAAAAAGTGAAAACAACCCAGATGGCCATCAATGAATGAATGGATGAAGAAAATATCTTGTATCCATACAATGGAGTATTATTCAGCAATACAAAGGAATGAAGTACTAAGACATGCTACAATGTAGATGACCCTTGAAAATATTCTCTGAGAAGAGGCTGAAGCGGTGCTGGGCGCGCTCCCCTTTCCTCTCCCTCAAGCGACCTCCCCCGGCCCTCTAGCGCTGCGCTGTCTCTACGACGTAAGACTGTCCCAGCCCAGATATGGCTCGCGGACAGCAGAAGATCCAGTCTCAGCAGAAAAATGCCAAAAAGCAAGCTGGACAAAAGAAGAAACAAGGACACGACCAAAAGGCTGCTGCCAAAGCTGCCTTAATATATACCTGCACTGTCTGTAGGACACAAATGCCAGACCCTAAGACCTTCAAGCAGCACTTTGAGAGCAAGCATCCTAAGACTCCACTTCCTCCAGAATTGGCTGGTGTTCAGGCATAAAGTTGTTTACAGGTGAATTCATGACACCTTTGACTCTTCTACTGTCTCAGACCTTAGGTAACAAACCTGCAGCTGCTTTTCTAACAAACGGTTGATCAGCAAAAATAAAGGGGCTACAGAAACACTCATTTTTATGCTGTTACCTTTTGGGCTTCATGCAAAGACAATTCTGTGTAAATGTACAGTTGACTCTGATTTGAAAATCTGAAAATCAGTCCATCCTTGTTATAAAAAATTTTTTTACAATTGTAATTATATTGATGTTCATATTGTGTAAAATAACTCATTTAATAAAGTAGTACTTTGATTTTACAACAACAACAACAAAAAAATAAAATATTCTCTGAAAGAACCCATTTAGAAAAAGTCACGGATGCACGGTTCCATTTGTATGAAATATCCAAAATATTAAAATCCATAGGGACAGAAAACTGACAACTGGTTGCCAAGGGTTGGTGGAAGGGGGAATAACTGATTAATGGATACAGAATTTCCTTTCATGATGAAAATGTCTTGGAACCAGGTAGAGGAAGTGGTCATACACATTACGATATAATAAATTCCAATGAAGTATATGCTTTAAATGGCTCAACTTATGTGAATTTTACCTCAATAAAACAATAAAATCCAAAGAAAGAAGTTATTTAGGAGATGGCGTTGTGGTGGGGAGATGGGGAAGCAGAGGAAGGAGTCGAGAATGACTCCCAGGTAGCCACATGAGCAAATGAGAGGGGGACTCCATTTCTGGGTTGGAGGAGATTGATGAAGGGGCAGATTTCTAGGAGATAACCAGCTCTGTTTCAGATATAAGAAGTTGGAAGTGCTGAGACTTACGAGTCTGGTGCTCAGAAATCTGAGATAAAGATATTTGAGGGTCATCAACAAAGTATCATAAATTGATGAAACTCAGTATCTAAGGGTCTGACAGAGAAAGAGGACCCAAATGTGTACATTTAAATTAGAACATGTTAACAAACATCACAGAAATTTTAAAATACAAAGCATTAAAAAATTAATATAAATTTTTGGGTGGCTCCTTGGCTCAGTGGTTAGGGCGCCAGCCTCATATACCAAGGGTAGTGGGTTCAAACCCAGCCATGGCCAAAGTGCAACAAAAAAATAGCCAGGTGTTGTGGCGGGCACCTATAGTCCCAGCTACTTGGGAGGCTGAGGCAAGAGAACCACCTAAACCCAAGAGCTGGAGGTTGCTGTGAGCTGTGACACCACAGCACTCTACCGAGGGTGACAAAGTGAGACTCTGTCTCTTAAAAAAAAAAATTAATATAAATTTTAAAATGTAAAGTCTCTATGCTCAAGGACCTTGTAATCGCACTGGGAAAACAAAACCCATACATAAAATATTAAGCCTATGAAAAGAAGCCTTAAGTTATGTGACTTACTGTGTCATGAAAGCTTACCATTTCAGCTTTCATCTTATGCATTCAACCACATGTTGAATAACCTCCTGTTTCCTGAAAATGCCAAATTCTCCCTTGCCTGTCTGCTATTTCACTCTATTTTCTCTAACTAGAATAATTTCCAATTCTTTTAGGAATACACTTAGGAGTGAAATTGCTCGTTGATACGATAATTCTATGTTTGACTTTCTGCAGAAAACCCAACTGTTTCCTACAGCATCTGCACCATTTTGCATAGCTACTAGCAAATGTACAAGGGCGCCAATTTCTCCCCACTCTCACCAATACTTGCTAGTTTCTGTTTTTTTCCTTTCTGTTTTTGTGGCCAACCTAGTGAATATGAAGTGATATCCCACTGTGGTTTTGATCTGCAATTCCCTAATGATTAACTTAAATGACTTTTTTTTATCTATCTACCTTTCTCCAATCCACTGACTCCATTTTCCACCTGTGATATTACAACTTACCTCATAGAGTAATTATTATGATTCAATGAGTTCACATACAAACCCACACAGTCAGATTCAATCAAAGCACCTCTATGTCTTTGAAGATTTCCTCAGCCTTCCCAACGTGCAGAGTTTCCCCCTATGATGAAGATATATTTTTGCTAAAGCTTCCCCAGGAGGTTTTAATATGCAGCCAAGATTGAGAACCACCAGATTGGGGCAATGTTTCTCCATCTGGTTGCATCATGGGAGTTACTTGGGATACTTGTTAACAGGGTGGATTTCCTGGCTCAATAACAGAACTTTGGAAGCAGAATTTCTAGGAAATAGACCTGGAAATCTACATTTTTAAAAGAAATGTGTCAAGATGATTCCTATGACCAGGCCAGTTGAGGAAATCCTGAGCTAGAAGATAGTCATAGGGTAGTAAACATAGAGGATAGTTTGAAACTACATGATCTGGTGTGCAAGATATAGTCTCTTGGTATCTCAGCTCCTGCAAGATAAAGTTTATTCATCTTTTGCTTGTGACTCACTTCAGGATACTGCCCTGATTACCTCCCCACCTGTATCCATGTCTGAGCTTGTCCATCTTTAATCCTTTACAGTGAGGCCTGACCTCACACTCTGTAAAATCTAAACTTCAGTGTGAGACCCAGAGAGAGCTCTTCTTCTTTGGTGAAATTCTAACAGTGCTACTGTGTACAGGGAATGTTTCAAGTGTTATATTATTGCAAATTCTCTCATAATCTCTAAGAAAGGGAATCATGTCTCCAATTTATAGCAATGACCAAGGTTACACACATAATGTATGGCTGAGTGTGGATTCAAATCCATGTGATCACAAAGCTGTGGCACATTCTGCTTAGCAGTTCTACCTCTCAAAGATTACTTCTCTATCACCAGTTATAGTTCGCTAAACTATTTTGCTTACCATTAAGGCTATACTCAGTGGCTCGGCGCCTGTGGCTCAAGTGGCTAAGGCGCCAGCCACATATACCTAAGGTGGCGGGTTCAAATCCAGCCCGGGCCCGCCAAACAACAATGATGGCTGCAACCAAAAAATAGCCAGGCATTGTGGTGGGTGCCTGTGTCCCAGCTACTTGGGAGGCTGAGGCAGGAGACTTGCTTGAGCCTAGGAGCCGAAGGTTGCTGTGAGCTGTGATGCCACGGCACTCTGCCCAGGGGGATAGCTTGAGACTCAAAAAAAAAAAGGCTATACTCAGTAATTTTGAAACTGCAGCTCCAAAATACCTGGGATCATCCTGCATAGGTGGATATCCCAAGGTGGATATCCAACGGGCTTTTGGAAAGGGGAGCTAGCTCAGTTATAGAGAAGCAAAAGGGATGGTGACAGCTCTGAGCACAGGTGGCCACACTTCCCTATCCCACCCCCCTCACTACATCCTCCTAGAACTGAATGAAACCGGAAGGGGATATCACCTCAGCTCTGGGCAGCAGGAAAGAAGTTGACCTCTGAGAGGGAGATAGCTGGGGAGGGGTTTCAGCAAGGGGAAAAATGGGAGGGGGCAGCCTCCCCCAACAGAACAAAAGACAGAAAAGTTTCCAGCCATGTCAGGCTAGTTGCGTGACCATATCATGCTCACGAGCAGGTCCAGTATCTACCGGGCTCTGGAATTTTATGATGCTTGAAGATGAGTACACAGGTAGTCCAGGGAGAAACCATTGGCATATAGTAGCTGTCCCTGAAAGGAGACCAAGGGACTCAGAGGACCTCAGGATAGAGGCTAAATAAACCATATATTAGGACAAGTGCCAAGCAAGACTAAAGAAAGCTGCCCCATAGAGGCTCTTGTCTCATAGGTGCCTGCAAAGGCCCCTGGTAGTGATTAATGACTCTCCTTTCCTTTCCCTAAAACCCTCTGCTCCCCTTCCCCATAAACTCATATTCTAAGTGAAAACACTTCCTTGCTATGCAAATCCCATTTCATGGCAAGTCATCCAGTCTCTCTCCAACTAGACTGATGCTCCAAGTTCATCATACATAGAAATTTTGGCAGCCATTACCACATTGTCCTCTGGAAGACCTGGGGAGGAGATACTGTGAGTCTGGTATGGTGGTGCTGCAAGGAAGAAATCTCTCTCTCCCACAGTGATGGGAATCAGTCCGAGACTCTAACCAGGCCTCATTTCCACCACAGGTGAAGGAAAAGGAGAGCATGCTGGTGAGAAAGCAAGAGAAAAGTGCTAGAGAATGCAGCAAGCCTCAAAAGACTTTGTTGAAAAGGGGCTAACTTGATGGTCTTCCACATCTTGGATGGACGTTACAGGCCAGGAGAAAGTTTAAGACAGATTGAACAAAAAGAGTTCCCCAATTTGGAATTGGAATAAGACCCCACAACCAAAGACTCAATGAACTTCCTTTGGAGAAAGAAACATGTTTCTAAGTACGAAAAGGTTCTTTCCACTAACAAGCCTTTGCAAGTAGGCATGCCTTGAGGCAGGAAAAGACAAGACCTTTGGACGTTCTTGTCATACAAAGGTCCAGTGCTCAGAAGCCCTCACTCTCCTATTGATACCCCAAACTGAGTCTCCCCCTCTGAACATTCTGGCTAGTTGCTACCTGCTGCCAGTTCCTGTCTTTTAATTTGTGACCTCTGCTCCCTATATCTGTGCTCCTTGGTTCACAGACTGTAGCTATTTCTGCTCCTTCTGTAGAGAAGGGCTGGGATGTCTTCCCCTTCCCAAGGTCACAGCTGGCTAGGGTGGAAGGAAATCTGCTTCCCCCAGGCCCTCTTGGTATTTGACTCTAGGGATCAGTGCAACATACAGCAAACTACCCAGATGAGTCTCTTCCATCTCATTCAGCATTCATTCAACATATTTATTGGGTATCTACTATGTGCTAGGAGCTGGGCATACATTACTGATCAAAAGAGAAAAATTAAAGTCTTATCCCAGTGGCCCTGACACTTCCAAAGACCCTAAAACCAGGGTCTGCTGTACTAATATACTTACAGAAATGTTTGCAATCCCTATAATCAGCAGAGGATTTGCTGAACTATATAAAGAACCCCTACAAAGCAGTAAGATAGACAGCCTACTAGAAAATGGACACAATACTTGAACTGATATTCAAATGGCAAATGCATGGAAAGGTGGTCAACCTCATTGGTTATCAGGGCCAAACAAATTTAAACTACAATACCACTATACCCACCAGAAGGGCTAAAATGTTTTAATCTTTTTAGATTGACAAAACCAACTGTTGATGAGAAGGCAAAGCAACTGGAATTCTCAGGCACTGTAGGCGGGAGTGTAAATTAATATGAGCACATTGGAAAATTGTTCAGTAGCATTTATGAAAGCTAAATATATGCCTACCCTATGTCCCAGTCATTCTTTTCTTAGGTATTTAGTCAATAAACATAAAAACATAAGTGTACCAAAGGACACGGACAAAAATGTTACAGCAGCCTTATTCATAATAACCCCAAACTGGGAGCAATCCGAATGTCCATCAGCAGAATAACAGATAAATTGTGGTATATTCATTCAATGGCATACTGTACGACAAGAAAAATGAATAAACTACTGCTATCATAATTCCACGCAATGTTATAGTTGAGTTTCACAAACATTGAGAGAAGCCAGACACAAAATGATACCTACTGAATGATTCCATTTATATAAAGTTCAAAAGTAGGTAAAACTAATCTGTAGGATTAGACAGGGGCTGCCTTTGGAAAGAAAGGTGAGGTAGAGTAGAAGGGGGATAAAAGGAGGGCTTCCGAGGTGCCAATGATGTCTTTATCTAGACAGTGGTTATAAAGGATTATTCACTGCGTCATCATCTGTTGACTTGTACCCTTAGGCGTTATACATTTTTCCAAATGTGTAGTATATGTCAGTTTAACAAAAATAGCCACAAGAAAATGGAACTGTGTTCAGATGGGTTAAAAAATGGAAGGTGAAAAAGAAATAGGAAAGTGATCAAAATTTTATCCATAGCTGAACTGCAGCAAGATTAAATGGGGCCTGGGGAGGAGGAAAGAAGTGCAGTAGCGCAGAAGTGGTCTCCAACCCCTGACTGAAATGTCTCCAGATGTAAGCTTTAACTACGCCCCTTATTCACAAACCTGATCTTTCTGAATGAGGCCCAGTGTTTCCCAGTCTAGCAGCTACTTGTGTTTCCAGGCAGAGAAACACAATATTTGAAGTCAAAATTGGAATTCTGACACACATTTGCTCTACAAGATTCTGTGGGTCTGCAGGCCCTTGATGCAAATGCCCCAGCAACTGAGCAGGAATAATTCTAATCTAGGGATTCCGGAATAGGAGATTCAAGGGGGTAGGTCTGTGTATAGGTACTTCTTATTTTGTCCAAAGAAATGACCTGCTCAGAGCGCTGTGTATGCTCTGACGTGCATGTACCGAAAACTTACCATCCAGCACGGTGTTCTTCCCATCCCAAACACATCTCTGCCCCAAACTCCTTCAGGGTGCTTGATGCCCCCTGAGCCACTTTCCGGGAGGAAAAGGGCAGGAAGGAACTACTGGTCACAGGTTCCACTGACACGAGAGGAAAACCTGGGGGTGGGGGTTCCTTTATAGAGAAGGTCACACCCCCCGCACAAAAACATCCCAAAGAGAACTTGTACTGAGTTTGCATTGGAGAGGTGGAGATACCCCAAGGGAGGAAGTGGCAAACGGCTAGCACGGGAACACCTCTCTTTGATTCCATAAGGTGCGTCAGGGAAAGTTGGATTTCGTTTAGCTTGGGAAAGAGACATCCCTCTGCATGCTGCCACCATGCTCTGTGGCTCAAAGGAAGCTAGGCTCCCCTCCACCCCGACCTCAGGGGTGCACGTAAGACCCCAGCCGCGACTCTGACCTCCTTTTCCTCCTGCCCGCCCATCCCCACCTCTTTCAAGGCCGGGGCTTTATTAAGGCGGGATGCGTCAGGGCTGAGCCATTTGCTTAGACTTAGAGGAACGCGGAATTTGTTGGAAGCACGAGGTGACTGGCCCATGGGACAGGCGCTGTATCCAAGAACGAGGTAGGGACGGGTCTGTCTGGGAGAAGACTGAGCGCGGAAGAGGAGCCCGCGGATACTGGTAGAGCCCGCGGGGTCAGAGCTGGCTGGATGGCTAGGGCTCTACCCAGGGCCGTTTGCCGGTCTTCTTGAAGGCCAGAGGTTCCTAGGCAGCCTTCAAGAGGCAGGAGTAGACCGGCAAAGGCGCACACGCCTTTCAAAGGCTGCAATAGCGCCGGCGCGGCAGATTGGGCCCTAGGGCGGTGGCCCTGCGCAGCCAGCGCCGGACAGCGGGAACCTCTGGCCGATGGGCGCTGGGACCCACGAGCTCGCGCGGCGCAGAGCCGGCTCGCAGTTCCCGTCACTCCGTGCACCGCGTTTCCCCGGCGCCCCGCCTCCCGACACCCAGCGAGGGAAAGGGGCCGGGCCGGGGCTGAGGCCACCCTCCCTACGTCCCGATTGGCTGCTGCAGTTGTCCATCCGAGAATCTATTTTTGATGGAGGGGGGGTGCCACCCAGTCTGCCCCAGATCACGTTTGCCACCAGCAGCCAACCAGTCGGGCCCGACTCCGCGGGCAAGAAGCGATTGGGGGCGAGTGAACTCGGCCTCTCAGTCCCCCGTTCGAGGCCCCCTGGTCCGGTTCCCCCACCACGCCCGGCCCGAGGCGGTATATCCTGCCCTCCCTGGCCACCTCCCCCTCGTGGAAGCGAAGCGGCGGCGTCCTCGCTGTAACGCAGGGGCGAAATGTAGCGAGCCGGGTGTCGGGGCTGGACTCTAGCCTTGGCTGGGGGTGTAGGGGGACACCCCGGGGGCCGAGGAGCACTGCCGAGGAGGAGTGATGAGAAGAGGGGGTACCCTGCACCCCCCGAGACCACGGGCCCCTGCTGCCACTCTCCAGGCTCCCCCCTTCCTCCCAAGCGAGGGGCAGGTCAGTCCTGTTGCGTCTGGGAGGGTGGGTGGCGGAGGGCGGCAGTCCTGGCGCGCAGCGCATTTGCTGAGTCTGAGTGGTGGAGAGATGGAGGAGGCCGCCCAGCTTCATCAACCCCTCCCTGGGGTTGGTGACACTAAAACGGATCTTTTTTGCCCCCGCTGGGAGAAGATAAGGCGTCCTAGTTCACTTTTTGCTTCTTTCGTTCAAGGGCCTTAGGCCCCTCTGAAGTCTTTTTACTTGGGGGAGTGGGTGAAGATTTCCCTTCCTGTAAGCCTCCTTTCAGGTTAAGCGGCCTGCCGGGAAGACAGGAGGGAGGTGGGGGTGTCACCTTTTGGAGAACTAAGAAACTTTTCTGGCACGGTGCAGTGGACTCAGAGGTTTCCTCCTGGATCTCTGGTGAGAGTCTTTGAAGGAGCCACAGTACTGTGTTTAAGGAGATTGGAAAAGGGGAGTCCTGGTGGGTGACAGAGTTGATAGAAAGGAAACCATTCCCATGGGCCAATTACTGGGGGTTGATCCAGCCTTTCCCAAACTGGAGTTGACTGATTGTGTGTGTTTGGAATACTTAAAGACCTGTTCCTCTTACCTGGGGAAGCTCTCTTTTAAATTTATTTTTACTTGTAAGAGCTATGATAGTGAAATAGAATAGTATGGAATTCCATCAGAAATTAGGAAACTTTGGGATTCCTTTTAGGTAAAGAAAAGTAGAGCCAGTACAGCTAAAAAGATTCATTTGAAAGCAAGTGTATATTGGCATATGGTTCTTCAGGTGACATACGCTACTTTTCTTGTATTTTGTTTTTGTTTTTAAGAATTCTATTGTATCAAACTCTGAGTAAGCCTGGGGAGCAGAAGGAGTCTAGAGAACTGAAATATGTGGGTAATGACCAATAGTTTTATCCTCTGCCTCTTCAAACTGAGGTAATTCCTTTTGTCCTATCTGACAGTCTCACAGGGCCAAGTACAGGGGGAGAGAAGTAGAGACAGAGGCCTGGATCTGAGTCAGAGTCAGCGTCTGAGCTTTTTGTAACACTGTTGACTCTCAAGGGCAGGAGTGGGTAGGCCTCTGGCTCTTGGCCTTGGTCTGGCAGGCTTGCCCCTTTACCCAGGGAGTCCTCCTAGTTGTTGCTTTGTTTTGTTTTGTTCTCAGAGGCTGAGTGTTTAGAGGTCTGGGGGCTCCGCTCTGTAATCAGGTTCTCCCTGTTTATTTGCCTTATGTGTCTGTCTTGCTGTTGCTGTCATGTAATGATAAAAAAAAAAAAATTACCTTCTGCAATGGGGTGGGTGGCTGTGTGACAGGGAGCTTGCCCCACTAAGAGACCACACTTAAATAATCTGGGCTCTTAATGGATATTCAAGAAGGGATCTCCCTAAGGACATCTCTATCCACCTCAGGTTGCTGAGAAAATAGGGCCCAGGTCTCCTACACAGCATCTTCCTAATCCCGGTCTGGTGACATCTCATTGCTGCAGACCATGATGACCCCTGTGGGTGATGGGTTGCTGGTTGGGAGGATGACGGGGTCCCCAACCTGCTAGACCTCCAGATGTAGCAGTGCAGAGGTGAGTCATTTTAAAGGAAAAAAGGAGGCAACTAGCAAACTCTCTATGGAACAAACTCATAAATGTGTTAGGTGAGAATTCTCCGTACCTATATTGCTATATCATGACATTCTCTCTTTTTCTTCTTCCCACATAAGGTATTCCACACAGACTCTCGTGACTTTAAGGACCAGGGATTTGGGGAGGTACAAGATCTTCTCAGGAAGGGAGCAAATCTCTGGAAGAGAGAGGAAGGACCACAGACACTGCCCTGGGACCAGCTGAGCCTGAGGAGCTGTGGGAGGCTGGAGGAACCCAGCAAAAGGAGAAGGCAGGAGACACAGCCCCGGGCTAAGGCTGTGTTCTGAAACCTTTGAACTCAAGCTACTTTTTACGAAAGAGGGGCCTCTTCAGAGGGCACTCCAGACTTTGGTTGGGCTCTTCTACTCTGGATGCCCCCTGCTCTGAGGAGCCTGCTGCTGAGAACCAAAGAAGACAAGAGGCCGGACAAGTTTCCCCCAAGCACAGAGCTGGTCGGTTGGAGTCAGGCACCTGCACCCCTAGTGGCTGGCTGCTGAGTCTGGCGAGGAGTTTCTTGTTTCCCTCCAGCTTGCAGCTTCAGTGCTTGATGGGGCTGCCTGTTGGTGGATCAGTTTTTGCAGTGCCTGGTAGGAGCAGAGAGCCGTGGGAAGAGGTCCCGCGGCATCCAAGCCTGGGTTCACCCCAAGATTAAGTACTTCCCCCAAGTTAGAGAGGGAGAGAGAAAGCGGGAAAAAGAATAAGGAAAAGTTCTCCCTTCCCCTCCTCCCTGCCTGTCATGTCCTCTAAGACAGAGCTGAAGGAAGTCCACCAGCTGAATGGGACTGGCCCTACTGCCTCTCCTTGCTCTTCAGATGGCCCCGGGCGAGAGCCCTTGGCCGGGACCTCAGAGTTCCTGGGGCCTGATGGGGCTGGGGTAGAGGTGGCGATTGAGTCTCGGGCCAACGCCAAGGGGGTTCGGGAGGAGGACGCCCTGCTGGAGAACGGGAGCCAGAGCAATGAAAGTGACGACGTCAGCACAGACCGTGGCCCCGCACCCCCCTCTCCCCTCAAGGAGACCTCTTTTTCCATCGGGCTGCAAGTGCTGTTTCCCTTCCTCCTGGCAGGCTTTGGGACTGTGGCTGCTGGCATGGTGCTGGACATCGTGCAGGTACGACCGGAGTAGGGAAGCTCTTGACTGTGAGCCCAGGGCCAGTTTTGCCTTCTGAGAAACTAGCTCTTGGGACTTCCTCTCTACCTCCTTGTTAGAAGCAGCTGCTGCTTCCTAGAATACTATTTCCCTTTGGGTCATGTCCTCAGTTTCTTCTTGCTCTGGTTACTTCCCGCAGAAACCCTGAAGCTGAGTAGCCATAGGAAGGTAGTCAGGCCAGTGTTGCTTAACAAAAACAGAGTGGGTTCCAGAGCCAGGCTTGGGAGAAAAAAGATGGAACAGGGTTGTTGCTTGCCATGCCTCCTGAGCATTCCTGCTGAGCCCAGCTCTGTAGGAGACATTTAAATGGGTCTCTTCTTTACGTCTTTTTCCCCCTTCACTTGGGGTTTCAAGGATACCCAAAGTACAAAGCTTAGTTTCAAGCCTCTCCTCCATCCCCCTGCTGGGCAGGAATTTGTTCAGCTGCCAAGAGGGTCTCATATTAAGAGGGAAGGCTCATAAAGGCATTTTGTGTTGCTTATCTTCCTGTAACCTTGGCACAGTCTCCTTGCAGAATAGGGGTGGGCACAGGCTGTCTGATGCATGGTCTGGGGATTTGGTGTAACGAAACCTTAAAGTGCTAATTATGCCATAAATGGGGACAAAATGTAACTGGGTCTGGGCAGAAGTGTTTGTCCCCTTTGCTCCTCACCTGCCCTGGGCAAAGAAGGCTCTTTTTCATTATTATTTTTTGTTTGTTTGTGGAGATAGGATCTTGCATGTTGCTTAGGCTGATCTCCAACTACTGAGGTCAAGCAATCCTCCTGCTATGGCCTCCCAAAGTGCTGGGATTATAGGAGTGAGCCACTGTGCCCTGCCAAAGATGGTTCTTTATGAGGCTTCTGGGTAGAATGAAGGATAAGAGTTAGTAGGACCTGGATCCTAAAGAGCCAGGGACCTGCTATGTTAGCTCATTATGAGTTAGGGCTTATTCAGAAACTTCAGGTCTGAGAGACAAAGTTTTGTTTCTAGATAAAAGTTTCTGGGCTTGGCGCCTGTGGCTCAAGTGGCTAAGGCGCCAGCCACGTAGACCTAAGGTGGCAGGTTCGAATCCAGCCTGGGCCCACCAGACAACAATGACGGCTGCACCCAAAAAATAGCCAGGTGTTGTGGCAGGTGCCTGTGGTCCCAGCAACTTGGGAGGCGGAGGCAGGAGACTTGCTTGAGCCCAGGAGCTGGAGGTTGCTGTGAGCTGTGATTCCACGGCCCTCTACCCAGGGGCACAGCTTGAGGCTCTGTCTCAAAAAAACATAAAAAATAAAAAAGTTTTTGAAGCACAGTATGGTACACAGGACTTCTTAAAGGTGGCAGTTTTATCTAAGTTCATCAGCAGTACATATCAAATTCCTGCTGAGTGCTGGCCTCTATCCTAAATACTCTGAGACATACCAAGGCAGGAGGATATCTGATCTTTGCTCTTTGGGTCCCCCCAGTTTCCCTTGACCATGACATCTCTCAGACTAACATGAAGCTCAACATCTCTTTCCCTGTTCCAGGCCAACCATACAAACCGTGCATGTAGAGACAGAGTCCTGCTGGTAGGTCTCACCATGCTCATGTCCCAAGGGACTGAAGGTTGCTGGGTTTTGATGATTCCTTCTCTAGTGTCCACAAGGACCACTTTGACTTGAGTCCTTCGTAAGAACCTTTGGTTGCTAATGAGAATGGTGTTTGTGTCATGCAAAGTGCCTTGAAGATTGTTCCTAGGTGGAGGTTAGGAAGCTGGCCTGGGGTTTCGGGTTCTTCCTCCTCATGGCTCCCCTTCCCCAGAGCAGTGAGGGGGAAGAGGGGAGAGGGGGGAGAAAAAATGAAACTGGGATAACGTTTTATCTCCCCTTCCATCTCTTTCCTGTGGCCTTAGTTCATTCCTAGAATTTCTGAGTTTTGGTTTGGTACCTACAAAGGGTTGCAGAACCAAGATCCAGAGGTGAAGTGGGAGAGGGTTGTCTTGTTTTCTAGATAATAATGATAGTGGGAAAGCATTTGGAGGGCTCTTCTGTAGATAGGAACCATAGTTGTCTCCATTTTGTTGATAGGGAACCTACGCCTTAGAGAGATGAAGTAAATTGTCTTTGTTCATTTGACCCCAGAGCCTGGCTACGGTTCACTGGTTGGTTAAAGACTCTGGAGGAGCTTGCTCTCTTTGTCTTCCTCTGCAAAGCAAGGTGACTGGAGTCTGGAATGATTGGAGTTATCTTCTCATGCAATCAGAACAAAAGTTCTTAGAGGGGAAAGGAAAGGACACCACACACACACCCCTACCCATCCCATACACTCAGATTCCAGAGCTAAAAAAGCCCTCTGATGTATTGTCCACCCACCCCCGTATCCATGAGCCCAAGACATGGAGAGGCCTAGGTAAGGGAATCTTTGGCACTGCCTTTCCTGTGGCACCTATGGCATCTAGGCTCACCCCAGAGCTGGGGTCCAGTTGGTGTGGATAACAATGGCTGGTTTGTCCTAGGCCTCCTCCCCCAACCTCCCTGCCACAGCTGGGCTGGAGCAGGCCCTGCAGATGGCTATGGTGAGATCGTAGGAGGGGGTGAGTGCAGAAGGACCAGGACACAGGACCACAGAGAAATTCTTATTCCGCCTCCATGGGAGTAAAAGGGGTGCCTGACAGTCCCAGATTTAGGAAGAACGAAACAGTTTCTAAGGATACACATCTGTAGTTCCCCTTCACAAGCAAAGATGGTCTTCAGTGAGACAAGTGTCTGTGACACTAGGCCATCTGGAGGAAATGGCTGGCATGGGTCCCCCAGTGTCTCAAGAGTTGACTGTATTGACAGAAATCTGTATTGGACAGGTTCAGTTGTCACCCTGGTCCAGGGCCTCCACTGCTACAGAAGACCCACTCTCTTCCTGAAAGTCCTGTTCTTTCTCCTCTTCTCTGTCCTCTGCTCCATTCAGTGTGCACAGCAGCCTTTTCCATGAAACAAGGTGCTGCTATACTAGGGACAAGCCAAAAGTAGAAGGACAAATGGACCATGATCTGCTCCAACTTCCCTACCATGGGCAGAAGTTCCTGAAGCATCATTTAGGCCCAGTGTTGGCTTCTGAACGGGGTTGAGATATATGTGGGAGCTCTGCCGGCCTACGCCTGTGCCCCTCCCCCCAGTTAGGTCCCAGACTGCCACTGCAGGTTGTCTCACTCCCTTTTTCTGCAAGCCTTTGTGAGGGACGGGGGTGTGCCAGGAGATAGTGAGCCAGTCATCACTGGAATCCTCAGCTAGGTTAAGACAGGTGGGACTCTCAGTTTCTTATTTTAACTTACTACTCACTTGCTAAGGATCTTGAGAAAAATAAACACCCCCACCCACCCAAATATATCTTCCAGCTTCTCTCTTCCACCTGCAAAGGAGTCTATAACTAGGAGAGTAGCACTGGGGCAATGGAGTGGGAAGGAAGCATTCCTCTTGTGGCTGGTCTGCTCCCATGGCCACTGGCATTCCTGGGCAGGACACTCAGATCTGGTCTCACTTGGCCACCCCTTCTGCTTTTCCTGTCTCTGCCCTTTGCTTGCTGTCAGGGACCCATTTGCTTTTCTCGCTCTTCGTACAGACCTGTCCCTACAGGTGTTTCCCTGAGGCCCTCCTTGAACATAGAAGTTGCCTCTGGGGAAAGCCTCAAACAAATGAAGGCTGGGATTACTATAATCTGATCTGACCCAGTGCTTATCCCTAAAAGGTCAATTTCAGCCCAGGTTTCCATGTTCTCCCATAGCCTGGTGCTTCATAGAGCTTGTGTCTAGAAATTTAAGTCTTAGTATCTTGATTCCATTTCTTCCTGGCTCTAACCCTCTTCTCTCCTGCTACCCTCCTGAAACAGAAGGTGACTCAGGCCAGAGCACTTGAAGGCAGGTGGAGGTCAGGGTATGAGGTGGGAGAAGAAGGTAAGGAATGGAAGAGGTAGGTTGGAAGGATAAGGAAGAGGTACCAGCAGGGCCACTGAGATTCAAGACTTAGGGTGATTGCTCTGAATCAGGGTTAGTTCTGAGTGTGGGAGAGGTCCCATCCCTCATCCCCAGAACATCAGGGACCAAGGAACCCCCACCACAAGGATAGAGAAAGAAAGGGAAGAGGGCTGGCATTTCTGAGAAGCAGTGAAAATCTGTAGCTATTTTCCCACTCTAAGCGGGGTGGCGCTTCCTGGACCGTGCTGTTTTTCACCCCCAGCCAAGCAGGAAAGCGTGGGTGGCAGCTTGGCTGGCGGCTTGGCTGACGGGTTTGACTTCAGGGGCAGATACTCCCGGACAGGATGAACAGGATGGGCCTGAATTAGGCCAAAGAAGGAAGAAGAGCTGTTCACTGTCTTCTCTGGCCACATCCTACCCACCTCTAACCTTTAGGGCCACCTGGATGCCTACGCTGGTTCCACATCACCAGCCTCCAGCTTCTCTTCCCAGAAGCCTGTGTGTGCCCATGTGTCAGAGGCTCGCCTGTCTGAGCTGCATCCTAGAGAGGGTTTTGTGGGTAAAGAAAGTATGTGTGTAAAATTGGCTAATCTGTCTCAAGCGCCAACTCAGGGCTTTGCTGGGCTGGGGATCAGGTAAAGTGAGGTTCTGGGCTGTGTTCTACAGGGGTTGGGAATGCTTTTGCATAGGAACTGTAACCATGGCTATTCCTTCTCCTTGTCTGTCTCTTGTGCCATCATTTCTAGGACCCCATACTTTCCAGGTCCTCCTGTAGTTAAAAGGAGAGAGCGAGCGTGTGCTGGGAGGTGGAGAAATTCCGGGGTGTTTGTAGTGGGAACCAGAGGGACCTAGCTGAGCTTTCTATATTTTTTTAAGCAATAATAAAGACAAGCAATATTTCTTACAAGCAATTCAGGAAATATTACTTGCACATCCTTGGACTATTTCCTTCCAGGCCTTTTCAGTCTACCCATACACACGCATTACATATGCCTACCTGGAGAATGAGATTTCCACAGAGCTGGCAGCTTGGAAGCAGGATGCAGTGGGGGTAAAAATGGGATACGAGGCTGTGCTCTGAGAGGAGCTTTGAAAGCCCACAGGTGGGGGAGAGGAGAGGAATTCTTCCTGTCTCTGGAACTGCTTGTCCAGTTTGAGAGCAGGGCAGGACCGCAGGGAGCTGGCCCCCTGGCAGGATGCAAGACAGGGGAGTAAGAAGGGATTGACATCCCTTCAGCGTTTGGAAGGGGCTAGATCTTTCTGTGGCTCCCTGAAAGCTCAGTAACTGTGGTTGAGATGGGGGTGTATCTCCTTCCCTCCATTAGTCCTCACACAGGGGATTCCCTAAGGAGAGTCTTAGGTCCTAATCAGGCCAGAAGCTCAGACAAGTGTGTGCTCTAGCCCCAGTGAAATAAGCCCCTCCTGAGTCCTGTTAGGCACCACCCCCCCTTCCTGGGCACACAAAGAGAACTCTGACAAGAAAAGAGAGGCCCTTGTCTTACAACAGCCCAGTGTCCAGCCTGCTCTGTCTGTAGCCCTGGCCTCAGCCTCCCCCTCTGCTAGCTCATCTTTCTTTTGTTTTTTTGTTTTTTGAAACAGAATCTCACTCTTGTCACCCCAGGTAGAGTGCAGTGTCCTCGCCATAACTCAACTGCAACCTCAAATTCCTGGGCTCAAGTGATCCTCCTGCCTCAGCCTCCCAAGTAGCTAGGACTACAGGCACCTGCCACAACACCCAGCTAATTTTTCTATTTGTAGTAGAGACATGGTCTTGCTCTTGCTCTGGCTGGTCTCAGAACTCCTGAGCACAAGTGATCTTCCCACCTTGGCCTCCCAGAATCCTGGGATTACAGGTGTAAGCAACCGCATGGCACCTGGCCTCATCTTTTCGTTTTTATTGTGGTAAAAAACATATAATGTAAAATGTACCACCTTAACTGTTTTTAAGTGTACTGCTCAGTAGTGCTAAGTGTATTCACATTTCTGTGCAACAGATCTTCAGAACTTTTGACTTCCCCAGCTAAAACTCTGTACCCATTAAATGCTAACTCCCCTTTCCACCAGCCTCTTTTAACCACCATTCTACTTTCTTTTTTTTTATTATTCTACTTTCTATCTCTATGAATTTGGCCATTTTAGATACCTCGTGTAAGTGGAATCACATAATGTTTGTGACTGGATTAGTTGGTACAATGTCCTGAAGGACATGTTTGTGCATGTTGTGGCATCTGACAACTGAGATACCATTGCATGTGTTTGCCATGTTTTGTTCATTCATCCACTAGGTATTTATTAAATACAGTGCTACTATAAACATGGCATACAAATCTATCTTCAAGACCCTGCTTTCCATTCTTTTGGGTCAAAACTCAGAAGTGGGATTGCTGCTTCACACAATAATTCTATTTCAATTTTTTGAGAAGCTGCCATACTGTTTTTCATAGCAGTTGTACCATTTTACAATTCCACCAGCAGTGCACAAGGTTCCAATCTCCACATCCTTGTCAACACTTATTATTTTCTGGAGAATTTTTTTAAATACGAGCCATCCTAATGGTGTCAGATGATGTCTCACCAAGGTTTTGATCCTAAACCTTACTCTTTAACAATAGTGTTGGTCCTGGAATCGCCTTTAAAATTGAATCTTTTTTTTTTTTTTGTAGAGCCAGAGTTTCACTTTATTGCCCTTAGTAGGGTGCCGTGGCATCACACAGCTCACAGCAACCTCCAACTCTTAGGCTTAGGCGATTCTCTTGCCTCAGCCTCCTGAGTAGCTGGGACCACAGGCGCCCGCCAGAATGCCCAGCAATTTTTCTGTTGCAGTTTGGTTGGGGCTGGGTTTGATCCCACCACCCTCGGTATATGGGGCCAGCGCCCTACCCACTGAGCCACAGGCACCGCCCAGAATTGAACATCTTATGGTCAGGAGCTTGAGGCCCTTGTTAACATGCCTAAAGTCTACAGAGGAGTCCTATTGGGGAGATGGTGTGTGCCCCTCCCTGTGGTCTCTCATAGGAGACACAAGGCTCTCAGTCCAGTGCCTGTGCCCATCACAGCTCTTTGCCTCCCAACCACAATACCCAGAACAACCTACGTATATCTGCTTGGCTACCCGCCCCCTCTGCCTCTCCCAACCTGGAGGCTTTTATTTTAAAACAAATAAAGGAAACCACATTGCCAGGCAGGGATAGGGAGAGAGTCAAAATCCTAACTTTTTTTTTCTTTTTCTGGCAGGTCCTCAGTTGCAATTGCAACTAAAGGAACTTTAGCCAATCCCAGCTCCTACATTTTTTCAAACTCTTAGCACTAACTAGTATGCTACTCTCTGAATCTGAGTTTCCTCATTTACAAAATGAGAATAAAAATAGCCCCTACCTTATTGGGTCATTGACATAATTAAACGAGGAAATCCAAGCACTTAGCCTAGCATATAGTCAGCACTTAATAGATACCTGACCAAATAAAGTGGTAGGAGAGCTGGAACCGATTGTCTGGAGACTAGAACCAATGTCTCCTGACTCCCAGTCCAGGACTCTCCTTGCTTCTGCTGGCTGAGGGACTGGGGGAAGGTGCATGGGATAAGGGAGTGTAGAGGAAGACTAGCATTCCCAGGTTTGAGGGCCACAGTCTCAGTTCTGAGCCTGTGGGGAGAATTGCTGTGGCCCAAGGCCCTTGGAGATGGAAACCAAACAAACTCTCTAATCTCAGCCCTGCCCCAGCCCTGTGGAGTCCAGGCTCCACAGCTGAGACAACACCACCTAAGGCTGAGGCCACAGAGACACTGAGCTAAAGGGAAAGGGGTTGGGGATTACAGTTTGAGGGGGGATTGCAAAGAAGTTTGGGGGTATAAGGGAGTCTGGGGCAGCTCAGCTATGTGAGTTCCCACCACTCTCTCCTCTGGTTCCAGGAAAGTAGGCAGAGGAAGGAGAGTCAGTCTAGGGGTCTCCCAACTGGCAGAAATGCTCTTCGTCGCCCCTGTTCAGGTGGCAGAAAGGGGGCTGTGTTGTTTGGAGAACTATAGGCTTGATTTGGTTCCAGGGTTCTTGGAGGAAAGGTGGATGGCGTGCTCATTCCCTGCCGACTCCATTTCCTCCTCAAGCTCCTGATCCCAGACTCTCTATTGAACCACAACACTAGCCCTTTGGACACTGAAATTCCTGGGTTCTCTTTTCACCTCGTAGCACTGGGAAGTCTTTCAGAAGGTGACGGAGGTCTTCATCCTGGTGCCTGCACTGTTGGGGCTCAAAGGAAACCTGGAAATGACCCTGGCATCAAGGCTTTCCACTGCAGTGAGTGTCCTGGCTGGGAGAAGAGTGGCACAGAGAGGACGCTGGGTGGCACAGAGCCAGAGACTCAGTGATCACTACAGGCCCTTCTCTGCTGCCCAGGCTTTGAGCATGAGCTGGAGTGGGAAGGGGGAGCCTGGCTGGGCAGGTGTGGGGAGATCCCAGGCTGGGTGTTCTGCGCCTGAGTAGGGGCTCCCCGCCCAAAGTGGTTCCCAGGCTTGGTTTCTGGATGTCCCAGCCGTCCCTGGACTCCTGCCCCACCTCCTGCTTCACAACCCACCTCGTGACTATTTGTGCTGCTTTGACAGGCGGGCATCATGCTGGTTCCTCCACCAGCACAGATGGGGGCCTCCTCTGATCTCCAGCCCTACTCTGCAGCTGGGCAGGAGCAGAGCCAGGCCCTCCCAGCCCCCTCCCACCCCATTCCCTTTCCCTGTGGCAGCCTGCTCCTCTTTAAGAGAATAGTCAGGGAGGGGCTGTTCGTCACTCCCACCCGCTACCACCCATTAGGTCAGCCATGATGAGTCAGGGACTGAACCAGATTCAGCACCTTGGGATGGGAGGCAGGAAAGCTCAGAAGGCCAGGGATGTCCCTGCACATAGCCAAGAGTCTGAAGAAGCTGGCAGAGTGAAGTGGCAGCCAGCATAACCCACCCTGATTTGGTCCTCCCTACTCCTGGCCCATATCACCCAGGCCCTCCCAAACACTTACAACCTCATTTATGTGCCAGCAGCTGACCTTTCCTTTAATGGGATAGCAAGCTGGCTTCAGAGTTAGGGATTGAGTCATTCCGACCCAAGTGGGAATAGGCTGCCCAGATAAGCAGGGCAGAGGATGGATTCTGTCTGTGCTCAGTGGGCGTCCTGAGAGGAGAAGAGAAGAGGACACTGCCTTGGGAGTCCCCTCGCACCTACCCAGCTGCAGGAGTGCAGCTTTAGCTTCTTCCCTCTGAGTCCAGCATTTCTATGGGATTTGCATGTCCTAGTCCTGGAGTCTTAGGCCACATGTCCTGCCTCCCGATCCAGGCAGGCACTTAACAGAGAGCTGCAGGCCTTTTCTAGCCTGGAGCTCCAGCCTCTTGCCCTTCCTCTCTCAGGCCAACATCGGACACATGGACACACCCAAGGAGCTCTGGCGGATGATCACTGGGAACATGGCCCTCATCCAGGTAGGAAGGCAGAGACCAGAGAGGGTAGACTAAGCATCCACCTTAGCCAGGAATATCTAAAAGGCTCAGGTCAGCCCCAGGTGGCTCCTGAGTAAACCTCCAGCAGCCTGCTGAGTTGGACTCTCCCAGGGTTGCTCTAGGAGGTAACCAAGTTACCTGGAAAACAGCCAAGATGGAGGGGAACTCACATCACCCCGATAAGTTCTCAGTTTCTGGTGACACAGGAGCCTTTGAGTTACCACAAATCCTGGAGTACAAGCAGACTCAGTAGTGCTGAAATGTCCTGTGCCACTCCTAGCCTGTCTTCCTGTGAGGCCACACAGGTTCCAGACAGGGAATCTTTCAAGTCCCAGGCCTTGACTCTGGACTGAAGTCTCTGGCTCTGTTGATCACTCCCATCCCCAGAGGAACACTCATTCAGCCTGTAACATGTCCTGGGTTCCCACAGGGTGCACTGCCAGTACTAGTGTCTGGTGTGAAACTAAATAAATAAAGACATCTTTCCAGGCTGGGAGGACTGGACAGTGCGGTCCAGCCTGCCTCCTGAGACTTCTGAGTGCCAGGAAGAGGTCTGTCTGAGTGCTCAGTGACCTCAGCTAAGAAGCTTGCTACTCCCAGGGGTCTGCAAGTTACCACTCCTCTCCTCAGGTGCAGGCCACGGTGGTGGGCTTCCTGGCATCCATAGCAGCCGTCGTGTTTGGCTGGATCCCTGATGGCCACTTCAGTATCCCACATGCCTTCCTGCTCTGTGCTAGCAGCGTGGCCACAGCCTTCATTGCCTCCTTGGTCCTGGGTAAGAAAGGGATGACCGCAGAGGAGTAAGCAGGGCTGCCCCAGAGGTGTTGACTGCACCTGGCACCTCCTTTATCTCTTCTCACCCTTCTGGTCCCTCTTCCCCTTCCTCACCAGGTATGATCATGATCGGAGTCATCATTGGCTCTCGAAAGATTGGGATAAACCCAGACAACGTGGCCACACCCATTGCTGCCAGCCTGGGCGACCTCATCACCTTGGCGCTGCTCTCAGGCATCAGCTGGGGACTCTACCTGGAACTGAGTGAGCCACCAACAGTGTGGCTTGGGTGGACTCCTGGGTGGGATTGGGTGAGATGGTAGCAGTTTTGCAAAGGTACAAGGATTTCTTCTGTGTTCTTAACTATTTAGTTTGAACACAGGTTGTTATAACTCCTGATCTTATGTGAAGCTAAATATAGATCCTAAATTCATACACGTGGCATGGTCCGGGGGAAAATACCAGAAATATATTCCCATATAGTTCTGTAGATTCTTGCTTCCCTGGTAGGGTGGGATGGAAAAGGTAAAGGAAAGGAACTGAAGGCTGGACTCTGCTTGCAAAATGAAGAAAGGGATGGGAGATAGTGATTTCTGGGATCAAATCCAGAGATCTAGGGTTTGGTTCTCCTAGACATGGGTGAACATCACATGAGGTAGTATGTGTGCAGGCATTTAGTGTAGTATTGCTGCTGACCTGTTGGGACATTTGCAGGCTGAACCAGGAGGAAGCTGGAGGCAAGGAGCCACAATGCTCATCTCCCTCTGATCTCTGCCCTCTCAGATCACTGGCGATACATCTACCCCCTGGTGTGTGCCTTCTTTGTGGCCCTGCTGCCTGTCTGGGTGGTGCTGGCCCGACGGAGCCCAGCCACGAGGGAGGTGTTGTACTCAGGCTGGGAGCCTGTCATCATTGCCATGGCCATCAGCAGGTAGGCTCAGGCCCTGAGTACATACCCTACCCCACCTCTACCCTGTCACAGACTCCCTTTTAAGCCCTGGAGAGAGAGGACATGAGTTGGATCCTAGAAATGTGTTCAGTAGTGTATTAGCTTCATATCTTTCTGTTGCAAGTACGGAAACTATCTGAATTGGGCTTCATTCCAAAGCAGAATGTATTGGCCTAGAGAACCCAAAAATGAACAGCTGGGCCAGGCACGATGTCTCACTCCTGTAATCCTAGCACTCTGGGAGTCTCAGGCCGGTGGAATGCCTAAGCTCACAGGTTCGATAACAGCCTGAGCCAGAGTGTCTCTAAAAATAGCCAGGCATTGTGGCGGGCACCTATAGTTTCAACTACTAGGGAGGCTGAGGCAGGAGAATTACTTGAGCCCAAAAGTTTGAGGTTGCTGTGAGCTATGACACCACGGTACACTACTGAGGGTGACAAAGTGAGACTCTGTCTCAAAAAAAAAAAAAAAATGAACAGCTGGACTCAGAGTCATATGTAACATCAGGGCCCCAGTGCACTCCATCTCTCTGCTTTGCTTTATGGTGGCCTGCAGCCCAGGTTTATGTCTTTCTTACTCCTATGCATTCCAGTCAGAAGAAAGAGAACTTTCCGCTAACAGTTCCGCAAAATCCCAGAATAGTTTCACTATGCTCACCAGGTTTTCATCTGGTCACATAACTATCCCCAAACCAATCACTATGGCCTGGGGGAAGTGATAATCTGGCTGGGCTAGAACCTAGGCATCACTGAAGCAATGTCACCTGAACTGCAGTGACTAAACTTGGAGAGAGCTGGGCGCAGTGGCTCATGCCTGTAATCCTAGCACTCTGGGAAGCTGAGGCAGGTGGATTACCCTGAACTGAGATTGGAGACCAGCCTGAGCAAGAGCAAGACCCTGTCTCTAAAAATAGCCAGCCATTGTGGCAGGCGCCTGTAGTCCCAGCTACTTGGGAGGCTGAGGCAAGAGAATTGTTTGAGCCCAAGAGTTGGGGGTTGCTGTGAGCTTTGATGCCAACGCACTCTACTGAGGGTGACCAAGTGAGACTGGGTCTCAAAAATAAATAGATAAATAAATAATAAAAATAAGCTTGGAGAGACGTGGTTCCTGCGGATGAGTCCACTGCTGTTACTAGAAAGGGAAGTAGAGGCTGAGCAGGCAGAACAGCAGAGGTCCTTACAAGCAAGTTGTCCTGCAGAAGGCTCCTTAGCCAACTTGGAGGGCAGCTATAGGAGGTGACTGCCTGCCAGCTTGTTCTGGGAGCGCTGCCAAGTCAGAATATTATGAGCAGCAACTGGTTCTGGCAAGGGAGGTGAGGGCTAGAAGACAGGAGTTTCTGGGAGCCACCATGCTGCTTTTCCTTCCCAAGGCTAGCTGAACCTATAGCTCTCATCACAGAGACCAGAACAGAACCCCTCATTGGTCTTTATGTCATTTTGTCTTTGTGTCTCTGTAGTGTGGGAGGCCTCATCTTGGACAAAACTGTCTCAGACCCCAACTTTGCAGGGATGGCTGTCTTCACACCTGTGATTAACGGTGAGGTCTTAGTATCAGCTTCCAAGGAGAAAAAGAGAAGGGTAGAATAAGAGGGCATAGCAAGGGGTCCAACCTTTTTTTTTTTTCCTCTGCTACATGTTGGAAGAAGTTGGAAGAAACATTGTCTTGGGCAATACATTAAGTCCATAAACACTAACAAAAGCTAATTAGCAAAAAAGAGAAAAGAAAGAAGAAAAAATGGTCTTTTCATACTGTCTATGATACCTAACACCACAGAGAAGCAAAAAATGTCCTCACAAAATAAGCATGCAGCCCATGGGCTGCAGGTTGGGCATCCCTGACTTAGGGGGTTGGTTTCTATATCAGGGTCCAAGCAGGCAAGAGACTCCACCTTAGATAGTTCAAGAATTTAATGAAGTGCTCAGCGCCTGTAGCACAGTGGTTATGGTGCCAGCCACATACACCAAGGCCAGCAGGCTCTCACGCAGCCCGGGACAGTTAAACAACAATGACAACTGCAACAAAAAATAGCCAGGTGTTATGGCGGGT